TGTGGTCTCGCGCATATGTGTTTTCTTTTGTTTCTCTTTCTTTATACTGTCTATCACATTCTTAGGCTTGCGTCACCACTCGTCCGCTGTTGGTTGAGAGAGATGTCAATCATCATCTACGTCGTGACGTCATCTTTCCTCCCGCAACCTATCAAGTTTACCACGCGAGTTTAAAAGAAAGCTGAGAAGAACGCATGTCAGCTTGTTTCTTTCTGTCGCTCTGCTTGTCGCTTTTGTGTTTGTTATTTTCTGTTACAGACATTGTCCTGTTGTTTTTTCTTTCGGCCATGACGGCGTGTTTTGAGGTTACCAAGAGAAATTCGGACAGGTAATATGTCACGTGACGTACACAAAGCAACACTTAGCAAACTCGATGTATACAAACACCAGGTAAGGAAGTGCACGCCACCCTTGGATGTTTTGTTATTAGTTAGAGCAGTTAGAGAGGGCGCTTTGCGCTGAAGAATTCTGTCTTTTCTTTTCTTTTTGTTATTAGTTAGTTAAGAGGTTGGGATTAGATAACCGGAGTTTGTTTTGTTCTTTTCTTTTATTTGGCTTCACTATTTATGTCCTTATTCTCTTGGGTTATTTACTTTAAACTCTCAATCTGTATATTTTGGTTTATTTTTCTTTGTGTCCACAATAAGTATTATCATTATTAGTATTATTATTATTATTGTTCATCTTTTGAATTAACATTTCACCAGTACAATAAACCATACTTTATTTTTTTCACAATACTTTGTTATGTGTCATCTCTTGCCATTTTAATTACACCATCTTCTGATCACGACCTCAATGTTGCCCCTTTAAAGACTTTGTGTCTAAGGGTGCGTAACAAAGCTATAGGGCTGTGCTCAGAATATCGATACAACGATATATCGTCATGAACTCCTGGCGATACGCGTATCGATACAGCAGCTGCCGTATCGATACTTTTGTGCTTTTGAATGTAGCCAATTCAGGGCTCCAATTTCGGCGCGGGATTGCGCATAATTTGAATAATTCCTGCAGCTCTCCCACTTATAATGCGGGACATTCCCGGAAACATTGATTCACTAGCATGTAGGTTGTATTAGTAAATGAATCCACAGACTATAAAATCAAATCAGTAATTTTAAAACTTTCTGTGAGACGCAATTTCACAAACAGCGTGAGTTCAATGCAGTGCTGCGTCTCTCTCTCTCGTCTCGGGCAAGCGTCCAGCGCTGCAGCCGGTGAAACTACACGGTCACGGTTAGGAGTCGGGACATGACGGAATATTCACTTGCATAATCGGGCCATCGTGACTAAAGTTACCATTTGCATGTCTTTAAGTTAGGGATGCACGATGATATCGGGACAACATCGGTATCGGCCGATAAAAGCTTAAAATGACCATCATCGGCATCGGCCGATATTAATATTTCTGCCGATGAGTCTTGCCGATAGGGTGGCGTGTTTCCTATGCGCACGTGACGACCGTGAACGAAGCATGAGCGCCAGCAACTTAAACTTCCAACTAGGGGTGTGCGTCTCACGGTTTTTGATCGTGGACGATTAAAATGTCTCCACGATCTGCTTTTGAAGAAAAATCATAGTATCGTGCATTCTATCAGTTCAATTCTGGCGCCTTCATCTCAACATACTGTACAACGCGACGTACATTCACATCACATGTAAACGCAGAGGTAGAGTTACACTCACGGGACACTGCAATTCACAAAAGTTCATTGTTTGCATGTGGGTCAAAGTCTTGCTAGGTAAACATGTCATTCACGTGCTGATGCGCTGTTCTAACCACCGCTTTTCTGAGCGCGTTACACCCGACGCTCACAGGAACTAAAGCCTGTCACAGCGCCTGCATACTGGACTAATCTTTCGAGTCTTATTGCGCTGATACTGTCAAATACACACAAGGTTTACATAAACAAAGTTGGTTATGTCTAAAGTGAAAGCAAATAGAGAAAATCTGCTTGTCAAATGCGTGTATATTAGACGCGTCGCGTTACTCGCGTGCAGTTCTTAAAGAGACAGTAATAATATTCTGCCGCTTGTCTTTAAAGAGATACTGCACCCAGAAATAAAAATTCTGTCTATCTAATGTTGTTTCAAACCTGGATTCATTTCTTTCTTGTGCTTAAATATACTATGGAAGTCACTGAAGTACAGCAACTGTTTGGTTAGCCACATTCTTCCAAATAACTTTTATAATTTCAACAGAAGAAAGAAACTTGAGAGAGTAAATGATGACAATTTAAATTTTTGGGAGAACTATCCCGTTAATGTTAATAAAACAACAAAACACAGAGGAAATCACTCACTGCTCTTGACTGAGAACATTAATAGAAGCTTTAATAGGCCTAAGCTTTTTTTGCACTTACAATGATCAAAAATACATATCAAAAATACATATATATCGGTATCGGGCAAAATTAGTTTGAAAATATCGGCATATCGAATATCGGCCAAAATCCTATATCGTGCATCCCTACTTTAAGTCTTACCAGTTGAAACATTCAAACGATTTTATACTATTCAGTACTTGCTCTGAGAGTTGGTTTTCTCTGCGTGCATAGACTAGAGTAAAGCCGCCTCACACACAGCTCGTGAGATTATATCGCTTTAACAGATTAAAACATGCAAAATGATGTAAAAAAATTCGTTCTTGGTAAGTATCCTCTAAACACAGTTGATTATGTCTTAAGCATAAAGGTTTTTAACAGAAACGGCAATTCCCCGGTTGTATGATGAAGTTAAGCAAGATATTCTGCTGTCACTCTCTTAACTCTGAGCATGTCAATCAATTGTTTCTTCTGTATAAAAATTTGAAAATGTAATCATTTAAAATTATTTCAACGTAGAAGAAATGACTTTGTTTGATGCACATTCTAACACTTAAGACCTGTTAAATCGGTGTTTAAAAGAGTTTGAGAAAACTAAGTTAAATTTAAGTTGTTACCGTTTTTGCTTTTATGGAATATTTTAAGTTTTGTTTAGTCATTGAGCAGTGTAGACATGCTTCAGTGTCACTATAATTGTCATTTCAGTTATTGAGGCAGACTTTAAAAGCAGAAGGAAGAGCCATTCTAAGCTTTTTTTATTTATTTAAGTCATTGTTTTTCAGTTATCACAACTGTTATAACACTGGTTATTCAATAAACAGATATTACTGTTACTTAACTCAGCTCAAAAGATGATCCATATCGTGATACATATCATATCGTGGCTTTAGTATCGTGATACGTATCGCATCGTGACATTGTTGGTGATACACAGCCCTACAAAGCTACATTTAAAAGAAGGTTTTTGAGTAGTTGTCTATAATATAAAAATACCATGTATGGCAGAACAGTTAGATTCCCAACCATAGTAGAAAACAGTCCTTGTTTCATGGAGTGAATAAGTCTTTAAACACTTCATCAGGGTTCCTGCACACTTTTGAAAGTCAAATTTAAGGCTTTTTAAGACCTTTTTAAGACCTTAAGAAATCAAAATTAATACCGTACATTAGGGCTGTGCAGTATTGACAAAAATATATCTTGATATTTTCAACGTTTTGTTGATGATAGTTAGATGATATTTTACTGATTGTGTTTTTGTGCTGGTGCCATGGCTGGTTTAGGTCTGTTGTTGACAGCTGACTCACGAAGATATTCATATTTTTCATATTCTATGCAGTGGTCAGTTCACAGCAGTGACAGAAATTAATATTTTAATTAAGGGGCAATATTTGCCACCTTAAATTGATTTTTTCAGGGGCATTTTCACCTATATATGGAAATTTTTTCTAAACTTATTTAGAGTTATGCATCACCTTTAATGTCAAATACTATCATTCAAATTAAATTATACAGTAATTATACAATAATACTTAATTATATAATAATCATACAATACCACTGTTACCAGTCAAATTAAATCATTCAATCAAAATCCATCTTTGCAGTGCAGAGGTGACAGAAGCGGCATCAGAAGTGGCATTAATATATTTACACTCCATTTACAACTGCATAAATAAAGCTATGAGATATATAGCCTATTTTTAAATCAATATTCAATATTTAAATATGAAATGATTTCTAATTTTAACATTTTATTTAAAGGGTACTTTAAATATGAAACCGCAGCGGCAAATCACTGTCTTAATAAGTGAGTTGAGGGAGTCATTCATTCAACCGATTCGTTCAAACGGCTGATTCATTCGGGAAAGAAGCAAGTGATTCGTTCAAAACGCGGATTTCAGTCAAGAAATCATCGCTGTGTTGCATTGAGACTCTGCTACGGTTTCATTTTGAAATTATAGTCGGCGAAATAAAGGGAAAACAAACAATATTGACAATATTGTGTCTAAAAAGTAACTCAATGTTAACTTATTGTTAATTTAACAGTTGTATAACATAAATATCACACTTGGAATCGTGCACGGGAAAACGGCACTCTTTCTGATGTGATATTCTAATATAAGAACATAATATGATATAAATATAAGACAAAAACTAATTTGGGGACGTAACAGTTACACTGCACACATCACGCAGTGAAAGCACGAGACAAATGCGATGTCAGCTCGCAGTGCCTAGTACATTGTTAAAACAATGATTACAATATCATAATAGACAATACACATCGCACACCATACGCACATAAAGAATGAACTTACAACTGAACTGACATTTACGACCTTTCTTCTCCTTCTCTCCTCTCGCGTGCAGGAGACAGTTATGCTGCCGCGACTCGCGAGTGACGCGAAATGTCACGTGAATTAGCAAATCCACAAAGATAGAATAATTTTTTTTTTTAAATACGTACGCTAATTGGATAGTTTTAATTTGGAAAGCTTTTAGATATGTCTAAGTCAAAGTGTCATCTAAAATTTAAGACCTTTCATAAGTAAAAATAAGACTTTATAAGACTTTTTATGGTCTTAAATTTTAAAAATCTAATTTAAGACTTTTTAAGACTTTTTAAGGATCCGCGGGAACCCTGTTCATGCATGAAACTAAAACAAAATTATTTACCTCCTTAGGGTCAGGCACTTCCAGCTTTGTTTCAGATGGTGCTTTGATCGCTATGACGGTTTGGTCTTTTAGGCTCTTTATTCTTCGGATGTCCTGATAGGTCACATAGGCATATGTGAGAAAGGTTAAGGACAAAACAAGCAAATACTAAGTCTCATTCATTCATGTTTATTTCCTGCTGTAACTAGTAGTAAAGAGCAGAGGTGATCAGTTCACGTGCCACCTGAACTGAGGTGGCTACAGCAATCCATCGTGCCACATTAAAGAGTGCCAAAAGAGCATTGTTTGAATTTTCCAATAAAAACGACAGAACTTGAAAGCTGACACTTTGTTTCAAATCAAAAGTAACAAAGCTGCAATTTACTGGATGGGAGGTGCACTACAGATAAGTTTTGTTCAACTGACAACAACAGACTAAAAGATTGAATCTTGCCATTTAAGAATTGATTTTGGTTTATCAACATTAAAATCTATTCAAATCGAGAAGACGATATTTTTAACCCAGCCCTACAACTAATGCCTGCTACAGACTGTGTGATTTCAGCAATCCTATACGATCATAACAAATCACACTGTACAACATGGATCTAATAAACTTGGGTACGACATGCATGTAGACTATACAATGATGACACCTATTGAACCGTAGGCTACGATGCAAGATAGTATAGAAGAATAAAATGTTATCAGCATGCGCTAGTGGTAAACAGAGCAAGATGAATCACACTTTAGCAATTGTGGTTACGTGCACTGCAAAAAAGGATGAGGAAGCGAAAGATGAGAATAAGGACGCGGCGGCCATGGCTGGGGAAAAGAGGCCGACTTGGCATGCCAATTTTAAGGTAAAGTAGTTTTTAGTTCTAGCACCACGTCACATTGATCAATATGCATTTCATGTTGCATTTTTATTGACTAGTCAGTAGACGTAGTTTGCATCAAACACACTATGTTCATGCTAAATTTATGAAACTGTCAGGAAATTATCGCAGGCTATCTTTTTGTCGCAAGACCGTCACAACGGCCGTCTTTGCATGTCTCTAACTGTACGATGTAGGACCACCGTTTAGGAGCCATGACCACAGAAATCGCCACAATGGGTCATCTTTCGTCTGGGACAGCCTAAAATCGTACAATGTGTACCAGGCTTAAGATTCCTACTCGGGCTCTCATTTTCTGGCCTTCAGTGATCATTACACACTTCAGACAGTACAGCTAACTGCTTGTGAAGGATATTTCTGACTGTGGATCTCCTCGGTCATCTGCTGGACGTTTCGTGTGCAGGTCTGAATGAGCTCATCCAGGCGTCTCTCCTCCTGAGTGAGCGCCAGCATCTCTCTGGCCAGGTTGTGACTCTGCATCGCTGGAGACGGAAGACCACCTTCTGACGGAAGACTGGAGCCGCTGAAAACACCAGAGCAGAAGTCAACGCTTAAAACACTTCAAATCCAAACAGGCTCAAATCTACTAAAACTTCCAAAACTATCAGTGTTAAAATATGAACCACAATTTCAAGTAACCCACAGCCATTGTATGTTGTTCTTAGACTTTTTCTTGATGAGGCGCACTCCCTCCAGCACGTTGGTGATGTCATACAGACGTCTCTTCTGGACGTTGAGCACAATGGCAGCTTTATTGAGATCCAGCACTCCATCGGAGGATTGCGCCAGAAGCTGACAGAACTTTTTAGTCAGAAAGCCTAAGGATGTGTCGTATCGAGTCTTTTCCGGTGGGGTTTTAGGAGCTGAAATGCAAGAGGTCATTCAATCATTCATAACTCTGCGGCAGAAGGAAGCAGGGCTGGTTGGTGATGTAATTAGATGGTATAATTTAATATTGGTGACTCTACACACTTATGACAGAATGAATTTAATACCTTTGGGGACCTTCAGTTTAAGGGCTCCTTTGCGACTCCGAAAGGTTTTAGCTGGCTCGCTGTATTGGTGGTCTGTGATGTCAAGCTCCAACCTCCTTTTAGCCTGTGTCAAGTATAAAAATAAAAAAAAACATGAACTCTTTTGGTCATGCGTTTGTGAATTTGTCAGGGTTATTAGACTTCATTATTTGAATAGTATAAGACTACTGTTATTACACTAAATTTGAATAGCATCCAAACTAATGTGCAGAATGCCGATACACAAACTTTTACTCCATTCAATGTGCTCAATCATCAATAGAAAATGTACGAGTACATCAAATCTAACACTTGTTTAGACAAGTTGGTAAAATTGGACAATAAATCTCAAAAACGGACCCAAAAATCTGTCAATATATTGTCGGTTACCATTAAAAGGTACATTTTTCAAGACTAACAGCTTGCGTGTCCCTAAAAGAGCATCTTCAGCAGACTGTACAGGCTCAGAATCATCTGAAAAGCAGCAGATATTGTTTTTTCATTTGCCTAGGCTAGTAATACCACTTCAAAATTCAACACACAGATAGTAGGGGAGAAATTAAAATGGCTGTCCTCCATTACCTAAGCCTTAAACTCAGTGACCACTGAGAAACTTAGAAAGGACCAATGACACTTTAGTTAATTATAGATGCAGTGAATATCTATTTATGCATTTTGCATGTTGCAGAAATACTGCTGTCATCACTACATGATAAACAGGAAATATATTTGATGTCATAGAAAGTGCACTTCTTAAGTGCTGCATAAATAATTGCATGCATTGCAACTTTAAACAAATAAAATACAAAAAAATGTTCCGTTAGAAATTAGTTTTAGCATAATCTGGTTTTGTTTGAATTAAGGTCCTACATAATTGGTAACATTAACTGACATGCATTAACATTAGAGATCCTAATAGCATGTTATTTAGCATCACAAATTTTATGATTAATAAGTACCATATAATTTTGATTTATTCTTGCATGGCGTTATTTTGTTAGGGCTGTTGACGTTCCTTCATTCATCCCAATTTATTTTTCCTTCCCATCTTTGATCACTTGTAGTTCACTTCAGTTTTGCATTTGTCGTTTTTAAATTCAAAACAATGTAGATTTGTTAAGTTTGAAAAAGTTGGAAATGTTGTATTGTTCCAGAAATCTATAAAACATTTATAAAACAAAAGTTTGATCTCTCAATAAGCCGTTTAGCTTTGGGTAACATGAACACCACCGACCTCACGTATGAAAAATTAATTTATAAACAAATGCCAGTCAGGAGTTTTTGTAGTATCACGATAAAAACAACAGTTAGCAAAGCATTCGGCCTAGCACAGAGTCCGCGAGCTCAGAGATGACTCCATCCCCCATCCTAAGACAACAAACCAGGGCCTAGACTTCACTATTTCAAGCTTTTGCGTGGAAAGCAGACTCTTATGAGACCATATCTACTCGATATTAAATTGCATATGGTCTATATCCGACCTATATAGAGGTATTCACAGCAGCAACCCTCGAGCTTTCGAATAAAACTTTAAAAGACGTGCAACTGGACAACCAATCGAGTTACAAATACTACAGTGACGTTACTGCTATTTTAAGTTAAAGAACAACATAATGCATTGCAACATCTCGTTTAACACGATTATAGTCGTATTGTCAATTACAGTTAAGTTATATCGTGACTACATTGCGGAAATGTGCATGTGTATGTTTGTGGTAAACCATCATCATGCGTCATTACGCATTTTTAGGGGACATTCAGTAAAGTTCTTAATTAGTTAAGTATCGTAAACGTGCTAATTAGTTCTGCACAATAAACCTGCCTACTCTCCGTATACTGAATGCACATAACGCAGATCTAGCAGTAGCCATGATGACAGCAGAAGTAGGCTAAGTGGACTTAGCCTAACGACTTAACATTTGCAGGATTGGATGTGTAACACTTTGACAGAATTAAAGCAGACATTTACCGGTGGTCGTCCTAGTGTGGGTCGCAGTCCTGTCCCATGTGTCGCTCCTTGTAGAGGAGTTGTGTACAAACTGTCAGCAGCAGAAGCCTCGGGCACACAGACATTATTAGTGGACGGCGGTGTGTTTATCTGTATACGGGCTGCTGCATTGGAATAAGCTCCACATCGTCGATCGGAAACCGCACTAAAAACACCGTGTTGTTCGCCTCTAACAACCCCTGTTAACATAATTTGTCCTGAGACCGAGGAACCCCCCTTTCTCATGATCCTCAGAAGCGCAGGTTCCCTTTGTCCCACTTGTGATTAGAGGCTCTTTTTCGATCAAATCCGAGCGAGTGGCTTTAAAATAATCATAAATGATGAAAGCGCACAGTCTTAGGAATGCATAGCTGTAATATGAGTGAGATTGCTAAATCCTAAAACACCCGATGTAAGCGATTAAAATGCGATGCAAACTCCCTCTCGCTAGAGCGAAAAATGGCTCCAGGAAGCGGACAATGAAGTAGGGGATGAGGTTTACGCGCGAAAGGTCCTCCCGCGAAACTCAGATTTCCCGGGAAATATTTGAAAGATATTTGCATATGCGCAGTCATTCGCCAGCTCCGTTCTGTTTCCCGCCCGTAAGTGCTGACGTGTAGGTATAGTGGAGCCAATGAAAACGCACAATGGCGTTTTTTTAAATACACCGGTTTGCCCTCTAGAAGGCGCTAGATATGCGACACTGGAAAAATGGAAAAACACATGGCTAAATGGTAACAGACAGATCTCGATATACATAAACATTAAACAAAAAATAGACGAACCCACAGAAGCTCATAAAAAAAGACCAGTCTTGTTATCTAGAACGATATATATATATATATATAAGTATGTTTTTATATAATACAATAAATTATAACTTATTTTTTAAAAAGAAAACTTATTTTATTTCAGTGTATAATACAGCATAAATTTCAATTTCTAGTACTCAAATAACTAAAATTGAAATAAAAAAAAATGAAAGAAAGAAAACTAAGTGACAAAACCACAACAAAATTACTAAAATTTAAATGGGACATTAAAATAAATACCACTACAAAAGAATAATAAATACTATAAAAGTATGTTAATGACACTAAACAACACTGAGAAGGACTTTATTTCAAGAATTTTATAATATGGGTTCCGTGCACAGTACAATTTGTGTGTACAGTTTAAGAAAACTAGCCTACGGAAAGACGTATTGCAACTTCTGAAATACAACAGGCAAAAGTTATCAAATTGACCATATTAAAAATTGTATGTTAACCAAACATATGCAATACCAATGAGGACTTGGAAATCTTTAAGTGTGCAATTGAAGAAAAAAAACCTTTTACAGTTTTATCTATGAAATAAATGGGATGCATCACAGGAAATTAATTCACACTGGCTTTTAACAGCGCTTCATTGTAAAGAAACAAATAACAATTGTGTTTTATCTCCGTGTTTTAATACAAATTCTCACTAAATATATTAATTAACAGGAAGAATTATAATCAAAACATGAAAGCACTAAATGAACTTTAGCAGACATTTCTTAATCATCATCATCAAATCGGATCTTTTTCCCTTGGAATGCTGTGATTTGTGCCTGCTGTTCTTTTCTTTTCCTGCTAGCCTCCCATGAGGGATGAAGGGACTGCTGGGGTGGATTTGACATGCTTCCAGGTGGACCTCTGGGATTCTGGTTCTGATACTGCTCGAACTGTGACCTTCCCCTCCCTGCCCCTGACGGTCCCGCTTGCCTTTGTCCAGGAACTTTAAAAGTCTGTCTGTTAGGTTTGAAAGGAACCATCCTCCTGTCAGCGCCATGGTCTTGGCCTTTATATTGAGATGTTTTCATCCTACTCTCAAGACCTTTCCTCTGGTTCTGGAATCGAGGAGGTATTGACCCGTCACTGTGAGACGGAGACCCATACTTTGCTTTCTGAGAGGAGACGGTGGATTTGGACAAAGTTGAGCAAAACACAGACTTGAATTTTTCGAGGTTTGTCTCGTGAGGTTTGCCGGTGGCCTCCTCGTCAGGTATTTGAAGCTCACTCTTTTTCTCCTCGACTTTACCTTGGTTACTTTTCCGTTTCTTGAATTTGTTCACTTTGCCCAGGAAAAAGTCGTCATCTTCGCTGTCTTCAGACTGAGACGATTGCTTACGGAAACGTTCTTCTGTGCTGTCATCAAAATATTCCTTCTCTTCCTCCTCATCTGATAAATCGCTCTCTTCATCTGCCTCAAGCCTCTTGGTCTCAGGTAGGTCTTGTTTCTTTTGTGACATTAAGTTGATCTTCATTTCTTTGTCTGCTTTATCAACGTTCTTTGGCGGCGTAGACTTTGTACTGCTTACAGTTGAAGACTTTTCAGGAGAACTTTGGACATTTGGAGCCGTGGCCTCTGCATTCTGTGATTTAACTTCGACCCCTCTGGAGTTTTCTGAAGGTGTTGTGATGATCTTGGATGGTGGTAATTCAAAAGCATCAGGGTCTTTACTCTCGGTTGGCTCTACAACACCAGACTTATGGATCTCAGTGGAAAAAGTCTTCAATGTTTCCTCTACTACTTTACTAACGTTCTTCGGCGGAGTAGACTTTGTACTGCTTACAGTTGAAGACTTTTCAGGAGAACTTTGGATATTTGGAGCCATGACCTCAATATTCTGAGAGTCAACTTCGACCCCTTTGGAGTTTTCTGAAGGTGTTGTGATGATCTTGGATGGTTGTAATTCAAAAGCATCAGGGTCTTTACTCTCGGTTGGCTCTATGACACCAGGCTTATTGATCTCAGTGGAAAAACTCTTTGATTTTTCCTCTACTACGTCACCATCCTCCTTGATGTCATCGTTGTCGTCATCCTCTGGTTCCTTATCTTCATTTTTGGACTGCAGCATGTCCCGTCTGTCCGTGTTTCTCTGCTCAGCTTTCGCAGCCTTAGCTCTTTCTTCTTCGATGGCTTCTTTGACCTTCTGGAGCTTGTTGACGAAGCGGGAATGTGTGATGATGCGTGCGACGGCTCTGTCCAGTGGGCTTGCCTGAGGGTCCTGTAAAATCTTCTCAAGCTCAGCGTTCTCCTGAAGTGCCGTCATGGTCACCTGATCTGGTTTAAGACTCCGTAAAGCCTGGATTTCTTTCAGGATTCCGGCTGCTCTCTCTTGGCTTTCCTTCTCCTCGGTTTCCTGACCCTTCTTCTTCTTCTTCAGAGCAGCCACTTGCTCTGCCATTTTACTGATGATCAGCACCCTCGTCCTCTTCACTTCCTTCCTCATCCTGATCACCTCCATTGGGACGGCCACTGTTTCAGATGAGTCCTGTAAGAGGCATTTTATTTTCAGAATAATCTTCATGTAAAGAGTTCTTTAGAGTAATGATGTTTACTGTAAGAGTCTAAATCTTGAATAAAAGCATGACGTTCAAAGGAATAGTTTATCTAAAAAGGAATATTCTGTCATTATTTACTCATTTCCATTCCAAACCTATAAGCTATTGTTTTTCAGTGGAACACAAAATTGTATTTCTGAAGTATGTACATCAGTTTTGGGGTCACGGTTCATTACCATTTCAGTACAGTAGGGAGAATCCGTTCTGAAATTATTTATTTTATAAAGACAGCAGCTGCAAAACTTAGTATTGTAAAGGTAAACAGTGCATATATACAACAAGAATTTTAAGAAGCAAGAATGTTGAAACTCTCTTATGCTCACCGAGGCTGCATTAACATTTCAAATGACTGTTTTTCATTAGAATGTATTTTAGTTTTTAGCATCATTACTCCAGTCTTCAGTGTAACATGATCCTTCAGAAATCATTCTAATATGCTGATTTGCTGTTCAAGAAACATGTCTTATTATTATCAATGTTGAAATCAGTTGTGCTGTTTAATATGTTTGTGGAAACCATGATACATTTTTTCAGGATTTATTTGATGAATAGAAAGTTCAAAAGAACTGCATTTGAAATAGAAATCTTTTGTTACATTCTAAAAGTCCTTTTTAATTTAATGCATCCTTGCTGAATAAAATACCCCAAACTTTTGAACCATAGTGTATCTGGACTAAACCATTCTTAACTAGAAAAGCAAATCTGAACCATTATTTTTTAAGTTTCAATACTTATTTTAATAACAAATCCTATGTTTTTCCAAAAATCCAAGATTTCCTGTTTCATTATAAATAAGCAAAAATCTATGTTCAGGTTTACTTTACAATTTCAAACTTTCTGATTATTTTTTCTGACTTTGGGAATGTGGACATGGAAACACAAAGGAAGATATTTTGAAGGATGACGCTAACCAACAGTTAATGGACCCCATTGACTTCCATAGTATTATGGAAGTCAATGGGGTACATCAACTGTCTGGTTACCAACATTCTTCAAAATATCTTCCTTTGTGTTCAGCAGAAGAAAGAAATTCATACAGGTTTGGAACAACTTGAGGGTGAGTAAATGATGACAGAATTTTCATTTTTAAGTGAACTTTTCCTTTAAGTACCCTGTAGTTTTTTTTATAGCTTGATCAATTATTTTACCTGTACTGAATCTAATCTAAAAAAAAATTGAAGAAACACCTTTTAAAATTACACTAACCTCAACTGTTAATGTTTCTTCCTTCTGGCATGGATTGGTCTGTTCTTTTAATGTCTCCAGACTCATCTTCTGGCTCTCTTGTGAGGAACCATCAATCTCCTCTTGCTGTTCATCAGTGTTTTTGTCACCCTCCTCCTCTGTCAGTTTCTCATTATCATTGTTTGATTTCTCTGAACCAACATCCTCATCATCATCATCATCCGCTTGTGGCTGATCTTGCGACTTGACACTTTCTGCATTGTCTTTTCCTTGTTTTACTGCTTTTCTTGCATTTATTCTCTCATCTTTGAAAGCTTTGATGGCTGATTTTATGCTCTGAATTCTCTTGCTGAACTGTGGATGTGTGGCGATGCGGGCGGTGGCCCGCTCGGATAGGCTGGCCTCTTTATTCCGGCACACTTTGTCAAAGCTGATGTCCTTCTGTAAGGCGGCCTTGGTGACGCTGTCAGGCACAACAACTTTCAGCTCATGGATCTCCTCCCGAAGCCTCGCCGCTCGCCTGCGGAACTTCTCCACGTCTGCCTCATTTCCTTTCTTCTTCTCCAGGGCTGAGATCTGACGGGCGAGTTTCCGGATGAGGAGCACCTTCACCCTTTTAACCTCCGGCCTCATCTTGACCACCTCATTACTGAGGTTCAGTACCTCTGGCATCTTTATGTACTTTCTGAAAGCTGGAATGAGAAAAGCAACAGGTGGTGTAAGCATGCTAATGAAATGTGATTTTTGTTTTGATATGTTTTCACATCATGAAGTTATGTGATCTCAACATTAAAATTTTAGTCTTGGGTCGTTACTTGCTCACAGACATAAGGTCCTGGTGCACAGAAATACTACACTGTACAGGTCAAAAAGTATGGAAACATTACTATTTTTAATGTTTTTGAAAGAAGTCTCTTATGCTCATCAACATAAAGTCTGCATTTATTTGATCAAAAATACAGAAAAAAACAGTAATATTGTGAAATATTATTACGATTTAAAATAATGGTTTTCTATTTTAATATAGTTTAAAAAATAATTGATTTCTGTGATGCAAAGTTGAATTTTCATCAGCCATTACTCCAGTCTTCAGTGTAACATGATCATTCAGAAATCAATATGTGGATTTTGATACTCATAAGTTATTATCAATGTTGGAAACAGTAGTGCTGCTTAATATTTTGTTGGAACCTGTGATACCTTTCAGGTTTCATTGATGAATAAAAAGTTAAAAAGAAGAGCATTTATTCAAAATATATATCTTTTCTAACAATATAAATCTTTACTATCACTTTTTATCAAATTAACACATCCTTGCTGAATAAAAGTTTTAATTTCTTTCAAAAAAAGAATGAAAAAATATTACTGACCCCAAACTTTTAAACGGTAGTGTATTGTTACAAAAGATTTCTATTTTAAATAAATGCTGTCCTTTTTAAATTTTTATTCATCAAATAATCCTGAAAAAGTATCACAGGTTTTAAAAAATATTAAGCTGCAAAACTCTTTCCAACATTGATAATAAATCAGCATATTAGAATGATTTCTGAAGGATCATGTGCCACTAAAGACGATGAAAATTCAGCTTTGCGTCAGAAATAAATTATATTTTAAAGTATATTAAAATAGAAAACCATTATTTTAAATTGTAATAATATTTCCCAATATTACGTTTTTTTCTGTATTTTTGATCAAATAAATCCAGGCTTGATGAGCATAAGAGACTTCTTTCAAAAACATAAAAAATTGAGACACTATATGTATGTACTAGCAATTCAATAAATATGATTGAATTTACAAAATACAAATGTTGTAATACACAGTGGTAATACTGCATTAATGTTTATGTAGATTATCTAATACATTTTCTAAAAAAAAAAGGTCTGTATGTGTTAAACAAAAGAAAATAATGCTGAGTACATAATCTCATAAAAAATAATCACTTAAATGATTTAGCATCACAACAACAAAGCAGGTAAAAATCACATGGCCAACTAAAAGGTCTGTGTGCGTATGTTATGTTGTAATAATAACTGTACAACATTATTCAACGCAAATTCAATGTTGACATGATCAGATCCGTCAAACCAACACACCTCTGAGTGACTTACATGCTAAACAATCAACCCATCTTAATAAACATAGACATAACTTACCCATTACTTCTAATTGCAGCAAAACTTTTATTCAAATAATAATTTATTCTCGCGACATGTCCCAACAAATTCTTGTTTTTCAAGCATGGCTGAAGGCATGTGTTGGAGTGATCGAATGTGCTCTACTTATATACACAAGGTTTATATAATATGCCATCACTTTTACTTGAGAATTATTATGCAAACCTTCAAATCCATAGTTTATGTCAATATTAACACTTACCTCTACAAAATAATAGTTAAATTCAAGCAGAGGAGTTGACTGCTCAGGACAGCGCCATCTTGACTTGCGAACGTAGCGCACGACGTCGTTACGTCATGAGGCTTCCAGAATAAAAATGGGAGGGCCTCACGCAGAGTGTTTTTATTTATTTCTTTGTGACTGAAAGAAGGAAAACACTGACATCCTCGCATTGGCGTAGCGATGCGCATCAGTATTAGGACCGTCCCGTAGTTTCCCTCGAGTGTTTGAAGTTACAGGAATCTAAAGGGTGGAGAATGAAGCGGCGCAATGCGGACTGCAGCAAACTCCGTCGCCCGTTGAAACGGAACCGAATCACCGAGGGTATTCACAGCAGGTACGGACAGGGAACCTCACGGCCACTCGACCGCACCGTAATGGCGTCTCTGAACTGAGCTTGGCTTTATGTGAGCTGTCACAGTCAGATACAGATCACAGTTCAGTGTGATCATTCAACTCCGGCCTGACTGCAGCTTAGACCAGGATACTTCTGACTCCTCTCAGTAAAGCATAATTTGTGGATGCTGGCTTTTGTGTATCATCCATGGGCTTCAATCGTGCATAATTTGGAATAATAAGAATTACATTTAGTCCTGACCATGTTATGAATGTTCTTCAGCTTGTGCAGTTGTCTTTTATAGCAATGATCATTATGTCTTGCTGGAAGGTCCAGCTTGGATCATGGTAGCTGGTGATTTTTAGCTGGTAATTGGCTGGTCAACCAGCTACTCTTAAAAATAAAGGTTCTTTATTGGAACTGATAGTTACACAAAGAACCTTTAACACTCATGGAACCTCTTTGTTGCACAAAAGGTTTTTTTTATATTGTTCGAATGGTCTTCACATGTACATTTTTTTTTTACTTTTAAGAACTGAAAAGTTCTTTGGGGAACCGAAATATGTCCTTTATCATGGCGTCACTTTGAAAACCCCCTTTTGGAATCTTTTTTTTTGTAAAAGAATGTGCCATGTAAAAAAAAAAAAAAAAAAAAAAACAGCTTGATCAACATTATTGTTGCTGGTCCAAGATAGTCTACCAGAAACCAACTAAGCTGCCAAATGTTTATGCCACATTATTGTAACGTTTTTGCCACCTACACTATCTATATATATATATATATATATATATATATATATATATATATATATATATATATAGGTGTCAGGTGAATGTTATGAAGGAATCCTTATACGAACTGATTGTTTACTGTTTTCCTTCTAGAAAGATGTGTAGATTAAACCCTGTGTGCAACTTGATCCTGCAAGTTTTGGTTTGTTCAACTTCCACATGACACTGTGTTGACTGAAACTGTATCTACTGTCCATCTGAAATTAGTTTATATAAACATACACTACCAAGATATACTCTGCCAAGACCTCATTTTGGCTGTGTATATTTGAATAGGTTTAACATGCGGGATTCCCACAGTTCGAAAAAACCCTGAAAATGACCGGAAAAGGTCATGGAAATGTAATGTGTAGAAAGTCATGGAAATAGTGAATGTAATGTCTACAGTGAATGTAAATTTCTGTGGTTATGATCTGCGTGGATACTCGCATAAGTCTCTTTTTGCACACAAATCAGTATAATATTTAAATAAAATGTAATTATTTAATTCATTCTTCATTTTAATAATTCTTTACTATTGATATCAAATAAATAAACCCTCCCTAGCACTGAATTGTTAAACGCTTTTAAAGTAATCATGGAATCTGGATAAGTAATTGAAATTCATTTATAGAAAGGGTTTGCCTAAGACATGGACTTTGATGGGTTTTTTTTTTTTATTATTCTTATGAATTTCTCTTGATCTGGCAGTACCTTTCTATACCTGAAGTTCCTGGTCGTTTGGGCGCTGGTTCTGCTGGCCGATTTCGTGCTGGAGTTCAGGTTCGAGTATCTGTGGCCTTTCTGGCTCTTCATCAGGAGTGTTTATGATTCCTTTAGATATCAGGGATTGGTGAGTATTTGAATTCCCAGCGTTGTGTAATTGAGCAACTAATGGCTCACTGTCTTCTTGGTCCTTTGTAAACCAATCTTGATGTCTTTGAGTGACATGTTCTACACTGGTTAAATCAATTATCTCTACTCTTTTCTTCTCTTATCCCACAGGCGTTCTCTGTGTTCTTTGTGTTTGTTGCATTCACGTCAGACATCATCTGCCTCCTGTTCATCCCCAAGCAATGGCTGTTCTTTGCTGCCAGCACGTATGTCTGGGTACAGTACGTGTGGCATACAGGTAAGTCAACATTGCTCAAGCCCCGTCAGACTTTCCATGAGTATCTTTTTAGGAGTGAGGGGAGTGAGGGCACTGATACATTAGAGCTGATTGAATGTTAGAGAATGCTGGGAATCTATTGATTGGATGGGGATGGTGCATGGCAAGTGTTTGCGAAAGTGATGCTCCATCATGCTACTGAAAGTTGCAAGCTTTGCCATTGGCATCCATTGACTAATACAAACTGCAAACATGTGGATCCAGTTGTGCTTCCAGAAACCCAATAATTCCACATTCCTGTCTGATATACACCATCAGAGGTTTTATTAGTGTGTAAGTGCCCAAAAGCCTTTGTCACTTTATTATTCAGTGGCATAATTCAGGATCATTCTGCTAAATATTACGCAACTGTTCACTTCCCTGGCAGTTATTAGAGAGGGAGATGTTGAAAGGGCTTTTCTTATGCAAACGATACCATTTAGATCTCTCTGGACTGTCATTCATTTTCAGTTTGATGATTGCATAAAAGAAAACTGAGCAAGTGGCCTTTTTTCTCTAAAAAGTTTGGGATTGGTACGATTTTTTTTTTTTTTGAAAAAAGTCTCTTAATGCTCATCAAGGCTGCATTTATTTGATCTAAAATACAGTAAAACTGCAATATTGTAAAATATCTGTACAATTGTACAGTTTAAAATAGTTGCTAAATAATAATAATCTAAATGTTTTCTATTTTAATTTATTTTAAAATGTAATTTTTTCCTGTGATGGCAAAGCTGAATTTTCAGCATCATTACTCCAGTCTTCAGTGTCACATGATCCTTCAGAAATCATTCTAATATGCTGCTCATGAAACATTTCTTCTTCTTATTATTATTAGTAGTAGTAGTATTAATGTTGAACCATGATACTTTTTTCAGGATACTTTGATGAATAGAAAGTTCCAAAGAACAGCATTTATTAGAAATAGAAGTTTTGTAACCTTATATATGTCTTTATTATCACTTTTGAATAATTTAATGCATCCTTGCTGAATATATGCTTCCATGTAGAGATTTAGTTTGCTCTTGAATTTAAACTCTGAGTTTAAACAGCAGAGATGTTTGATTGATTTTTGAGTGCTCCTGTCATTATATGTCCTTTTCTTGGGTCGATTCAGTGATACCTCAGGAGAGAGGAGGAAAAGAATTGCTGACACTGAGTGATTGTTCCTTGAGAACCGTTTCAATATGCTTTGAGCTGTGACACTGATTGCTCCTGCTGACACATGACTTGCAGCGTGTTTCAACAAGAGAGGGTGCTTTCAGCATGCTGGGGTTTTGTTTGCAGCCTAGAGCTTGTTTTGTGAAACCTGTGACGTTATTGATCTGCCACACAATCAGTTGCCTTTTGTTTAACCGCACTGATGACCCTAAAGGTCACTAATGGCCTAGAAGTCATTATATTTTGAATAATTATGCATTCCTATATATGCCATAAGAATGTCATAACTAACGGAAGGTAGAGATCAATTGTCAACTGTTATACATAGTTTTTCTATTTTCTTCCTTTACAGAGCGAGGCGTTTGTCTGCCCACTGTCTCTCTCTGGATTCTTTTCGTCTACATCGAAGCAGCCATCCGATTCAAGGATTTGAAACATTTTCATGTAGACCTTTGCCGTCCATTTGCAGCTCACTGGTAAGATTTGTTTGATGCATACTTGCCCTCATGTCATTCCTAACCAATATGACTTACTTTCAAATATGGAACATAAGAGGAGAAATTATGAAGTATGTTCATGCTGCTCTTTCCAATAAAACAAACACAAAACAGCATGAACTGTCTTCACAACATATGTTTTTAATTAAGTCATGAAGGTTTGTATAATTTCAAAGGTGTCCTATTATGCTTTTTTTTAAAATATATTTTCAACTTTCTATAGTGTGTAATGTTGCTTTTTGAGCATGAAAAAGGTCTGCAAAGTTATAAAGCACAAAGTCCACTCCAAAGTAAGCACCTGAAATTCCTCTATTGTAGTCTTGAGTGTTCTTCCAGGAATGTACACATCACAATTTTCCTCATTTAAATAATTCCCACTCAAGGTATATGCAAAAAACGGGGCGAAGCCTGGTTGAGTTGTGTTAGTAGTGTGTTGAAATTCGCTGTTATGTTGATTATGGCGTGACATTTCCGAACTTGATCAAAGTTGTTGACCAATCACAACACACTGCTCTAGCCAATCAGAGCACACTGCGCTTTTCGGAAGGAGGGGCTTCATTGAGATCAGAACTAAACCGTGTTACAGACAGACTGGGAAGAGAGGTGCTGCAGTGAAATTTTTTTGTTTTTTACATTTAGGAATTAAAGGTGCTCTACGTAACTTTTAGTGGCCTCTAGTGGTGATGTTTCAGATTGCAACCAAATTTTACAAGAGCGCTTGTGCTCGAACTCATAGACAATACCGTCTATTACGCAAATATCTCGGCGAATACTTGACGGATTCGGCGAGCACCGAGCTCGTTGGGACCATCTAGTCAAGCTGAAAAGAACCATATAAGTTCCATAGTTTTTGGTGGTGTTTTCGCGGAGATATTAGCAGAAAACCATCGGGCGCGCTGCAAAATTCCGGACGCCGGTGACGTCACGATCTCAGAAGAAAATTGCTCGTATCTCTGGAACGCAAAGACCCAGAGAGCTCACATACGGGGGAGGAGGTCCCAGGGGAACCCTTGCCCGAACACTAGAGTGGCGGGCCTCGGGGATGCCCCCTACCGGATCGCCGTTCGCTGGGACTCCCGATTTCGAACGGCTATAACTCGGGGAGCCGGGCGAGTTGGACCTCAGGGGTGGGCTTGTTCGAAAGGCCCCGTCCAGCACTACGAACGATTAGAGTCTTGGGAATATTGATAAAAGATTGACTGAGATATAAGCCGAAAAACGTGCGCCTTTAACCGGACGTAACTCCCTGACCGTCTACAATAGACTGTATATAAGGAGAGAGGCTCGGGAGCGCGCATGTGCGTCACATCCGTTGGATTTCGCGGTAAATCCGACCCGGAGACTTCACATAGAAATAGGAATAGTGGCCTTCAGAGGTAATAGCAAAACTCGACAAGTGGATCATTTTAATGTGTGATTACAACCCCTTCACACACAGGCAATAAAAAAAGGATTCATTTTAGTAGAAAAGTTACATAGAGCACCTTTAATACCGATTCTAATAGACCCCAAAAACAAAATCAAGACTTTAAAGAGGACCTATTATGCCCTTTTGTCAAAGGTTTATGAAATCTCACACCACATAAAGTTTCACCATTTTTTTTTATTATTAAACATGTAGTAAACAGCTGATGTAACTGTACTACTTATAGCGCAGCAGTCAGTTTTGTATTTGTAAACACACTGATGGTGTCTCCATAGCAGCACATGGGAGTGTTGCCATTATCTGAAGGTGTCTAATGTTGAGTCATCATCACTAGTTGTACCAATCCTTTTTTTTTCTGTATTCTGTAACATGTTGTTCTAACCCTTTCGTTACAGCATTGGCTATCCGGTGGTGACGCTGGGCTTCGGCTTCAAGAGTTACGTGAGCTATAAGATGCGTCTGCGGAAGCAAAAGGAAGTCCAGAAGGAAAATGAGTTCTACATGCAGCTCCTACAGCAGGCCCTGCCCCCAGAACAACAGATGCTTCAGAGACAGGAGCGAGAGACAGACGAGGGTAAGATCACCATTTGGCCATTATGATAATACAATATATTTTTTTATAATATATAAAACTGACACAAAGACAAAAAATGGGTCCGTCAAAAATCATCAAGGCATTGACGTCACAACCATGATCTTAATACCATGTGATTGATGACCGGTCACATTCAAAAGTTTGAGGCCAGTTAGAATGTTATTTTTATTTTATTTTTTTATAAAGGAGTCATGAATTCAGAAATCAAGTGTTTCTTAGTCTTTTGACATATAAAGGACCCGATATACTCACGGCGAAGTTCTTTTTCGTACTTTGTTTAGGGGTAAAACGAAGTTTGAAATGCGTGACCAGCGATATACTGTTATCACACTGCTGAAAACAACGCTTAGATGAATATGTGTGTTGCGCGCTTTCCTCTCGAATAACAAAATAAACACGCAACAAAATTGAGAAAACAGCTAGATTTTTTTAATAAACCATTAGAAAAGCATCTGATCATAACACCGTGGATATGTTTGCACGAGCTCTGCAATTCGGCACTCTAGTGAAGTCACATCACATTTATTTATATAGCACTTTATACAATAGATTGCTTAAAATCAATTAGCGTTTACTGTATTAAACTTGAAAAACAGTGGTAGTGTCTTGTTTCATCAGAAGTACATCTTCATTTTCTACTATAAAGCAGCTCTCTAATGTGTTCATGTTTTCACTCGCGGGTCAGTATTTATACTATAGTGCTGCAGTCAAACTGTGAATAGTTGTGATTTGCCGTTCTTTCCTTTGCTTCGACGTGTATTTGGTTAATGCAGTGGATTCCCGGATATGAAAGAAACAACGTAGAGAACGCTGTTTTTTGTTATTGGTTTGATCTAAGGCATTTGTTGTCATCCTGAATCTTCTGTTTTGTCATCAGTAAGACATTACTACACTTTTCATTTTATTTTTATTTCGTATGAAAAAAAAAAAAAAATCACGGGTTCCACAAAAATAGCAGCACAACTGGTTTCAACATTGATTATAATAAGTAATGTTTCTTGAGCAGCAAATCGGCATATTAGAATGATTTCTGAAAGATCATGCGACCGAAGACTGGAGTAATGATGCTGAAAATTCAACTTTGCCATCACAGGAATAAATTACATTTTATGTAATTTATATATTATTTTAATATATTCAAATAGAAAACAGTTATTTTGAATTGTAATAATTTTTCACAATATTACACTTGTTTGATCAAATAAATGCAGTCTTGGGGAGCATAGGAGACGTCTTTTAAAAACATCTCTTAATGACCCAAAACTTTCAAACAATAGTGTGTTTTTGTATTTAATATATACTATTTAATACTTTTTAACTATTATATGAAACCGTACAATAAACTTTAAATGTTTTACTACATTGTTACGTGACCTTTGTTGCATGATTTGTTTTACCAAGTTGAACCCAGTTATCATAAAAAATTTTATTTTGCATTTTTATTACACAATGTTTGTAATGTTTGGTAACTATCAAATATATGTTCAAAGTCCTAGTTGATATCACGCTGGGAATGAAAGGGTCAAGTTTAGTGTACTCCACGCTGTGTGCTTTGGATGTATACCACACATTTTGCCTAATGTTCCATGCTTGCAGCACATTTTCATACTGCGTGCATACATGGTGCAAAAATAAAATCAGTCATATGGTAGTACGACACAACTATTCATTTGCATGATGCTTTGCAATTTGTATTTTTCATTTGAAGTCATAGCAGTAAGACAGCATTGTTTTGTATCCTTAAAATCTCTCTTTAATTTATTTGGCAGCCACTTCAAAAGGCACATCTGAAGCAGACTCTGTGTTAGTGGCTCAGAACGGCACTGCTAATACCAAGAAACTGCCCATCTCTCTACCTGAACTGGAGTACAAGGAGAAGGGCAAAGACGGGGGGAAAGACAAAAAACAGCAGCAACACAGCATAGGAATAAACAACAACATCTTACAGACTGTGGATGCTAAACTACAGGACATTGAGTATATGGAGAACCACCTAAACACTAAGAGACTCAACAATGAGCTCGGCGGCAGCGCAGAGAACCTGTTCCTAAAAGAGGAGGTAGGCGGTGGAGGAGGAGGCTCTGCCCCCTCTAAACATTACAAAAACTCCTCCCCCCGTAGCCACAACTCCACCAATGGCAGCGTACCATCCTCCTCATCCAGCAGGAGTGAAAAGAAACAGAAGTGTGCAGGGAAGAACCTTGCACCACACAGAGATCTGATGGAGAACTGTATACCTAACAACCAGCTCAGTAAGCCAGATGCATTAGTGCGGTAAGACTCCTCATGTAGCAACTACTGTGGTCCGATTGAGCCATCGGAGTGTGTTTGTTCTGTTTATTCACTTTTTCTCTGTTTTTCAGGCTTGAGCAGGACATAAAGAAGTTGAAGGCTGACCTGCAGGCGAGCAGACAGGTGGAGCAAGACCTGCGCAGTCAGATCAGCTCTCTGAGCAGTGCCGAGAGAAGCATGCGCTCTGAGCTGGGGCAGCTCCGCCAAGAAAACGAGTTACTGCAAAACAAGTGAGAAATCAGCAACAATTAGTTACCAATATATGCCAATACAAATTTTAAACCGGGAACTCTAAGACCCTGTCTCAAATGGTACCCTAAACACTCGTGGTCTTCCTACGAGTCTGCAAGTTTGCTGCGTAACGCTGCTTTTACTGTCAGGTGGAAGTCAGTGCAGGCTCAGCAAAAGTGCCTATCGAGGGTGCATATCGACCGCAAAGCTCGCAAGCCTAAAATAACAGATGGGACTAGACCGTAAGTGCATTATGAAGTGTACCATTTGGGACAGGGCCAAACTTTGATTACCTGGACCACTAGTCTATGGTCTGTTTTTCACTGAGGATGAATAGTGTCAATTAAAAAGTCACCATTAAATCAAAATGGTCAATCACAGCAAACCACAACGATCCAAACTATTCCCGATAGACAAAATCTATCTATAGTTTCACTCGGATATATGGTACAATATGGAAGAAAAGATTATCGCAACTTCCGTTTCATGCCGACTGTAAATATGTAAGATTAAAAATTCATCATTGATCTCACAAATCGTTGTGAGGGGTCAGTTCTTATCAGCGCTGACAAATGTAACAGGTTGCAGGAAGGGGCAATAATTTACACCTGCATAAAGGCCATTAGACAAGTGAGTGTCAGTGTAGTAAATAATAAAAGATAAGTTAGCGTTAATCAAAATAAAGCTGAAATGTATAAATATTGGATAAAAATAAAACTAGTGAAAATAGAATTTTCATGAATTATTTCATTTCAACTGATGAAATAAAGTAAATTGAAGTTCTAAAATGACAAACTAAAAACAAACAAATATAAAGCTAAATAGAATTATAAAAAAAAGCTTAAATCACGAAAGCACAATACAATTACTAGAACTTCAACTAAAATTAAAAAATAAAAATAAAAAGCTCATTCAAAATATGAATAAATTAATATATAATTAATGAATTGGTCATAACTGAACTGAGTTTTATTTTATTTTTTTGGGACCAGTAATCCCATAATATTTTTTTAATAATGCATTTTATTAGTATAGCTCCTTTTGTACTTAATCTCAAATTTAAAAAAAGCTCAAACTTTTAAGAAAAGTGTCATTTAAAAAAAAGGCTAATTTTAGTTTAAGACCCAGTTTAAGGCTAATAATCCTTAGATCCTTAGATGCACATTTCCATCTCTCTACCTGCCGTTTTTTTTGTGCCAGTGTTGATTGTGCTTCTCTGTCTTAGGCTTCATAACGCTGTGCAGGCCAAGCAAAAGGACAAGCAAATGATTGTGCAGCTTGAGAAGCGGCTCAAGGCAGAACAGGAAGCGCGAGCCGCAGTGGAAAAGCAGCTTGCAGAAGAGAAGAAAAGAAAGAAGATGGAAGAGGCTACAGCTGCACGTGCTGTCGCTCTGGCAGCTGCCTCCAGGTGAGACATGAATAACTCGCCCAAAAATATTGTTCCATCCCCATATACTTTTTCTATTTTCTGTGGAAAATACCCTTTAAACGATTATATGGTGCTCTGTGTGGATTTATGTGTCTTTTGTTATGTCCTTGTACTGGTGGGCTTCACTTTCGCTTCCATTCACAGAGGGGAATGCACAGACTCGCTGAGGAGTCGCATACGTGAGCTGGAGTCAGAATGCAAGAAGCTCATGCACGACATGAAGCTAAAGGAGGAACTCATCAGAGAGCTAGAGCTCAAAGCGCAAGTAAGCCAGAACCCCTGCTGACGTATTGTATTTTATTTTATATATATATATATATATATATATATATATATATATATATACACACTCACCTAAAGGATTATTAGGAACACCATACTAATACTGTGTTTGACCCCCTTTACGTGGCATTGATTCAACAAGGTGCTGAAAGCATTCTTTAGAAATGTTGGCCCATATTGATAGGATAGCATCTTGCAGTTGATGGAGATTTGTGGGATGCACATCCAGGGCACGAAGCTCCCGTTCCACCACATCCCAAAGATGCTCTATTGGGTTGTGATCTGGTGACTGTGGGGGCCATTTTAGTACAGTGAACTCCTTGTCATGTTCAAGAAACCAATTTGAAATGATACGAGCTTTGTCACATGGTGCATTATCCTGCTGGAAGTAGCCATCAGAGGATGGGTACATGGTGGCCATAAAGGGATGGACATGGTCAGAAACAATGCTCAGGTAGGCCGTGGCATTTAAACGATGCCCAATTGGCACTAAGGGGCCTAAAGTGTGCCAAGAAAACATCCCCCACACTATTACACCACCACCACCACCAGCCTGCACAGTGGTAACAAGTAGGGGTGGAACGGTACACAGAAGTCACGGTTCGGTTCATACCTCGGTTCAGACATCACGGTTCGGTACGATTTCGGTACAATGGAGGGAAAAGCAAAACAAAAATGCAGAAGGCATTGTATTTTTTAAATAAGTTTTATTAATAAAGGCATAGAACCAGTTTATATGTAGTGCACTGACAATAGTTTTATATAATTCGTTTATTAATTAAATTAATAAAAATACAAAAAGACCTTGCGATATGTTTGGTAATTGTACCTGAATTAATTTAAAATTAATGTGCTATATTTCAGATAAATATATTTGTTTTCCTTAATTTTAATTAACATTATTAATTAACAATGTAACATTATTCTCATCTGAATTATAAATAATTGATTTCTGTATAAAATAATACTACCATTAAAAACGCATTCGATTTTCTTTTTTAATCAATGTAGAATGTGTAAGATCAGTGCTCCGAGGACAAGAAATGAAAACCAATGCGATATGATGAATGTCTAAAAGATGGGACCCACAGACTGTTTTGAAATGGAGTTGGATAAATATGTTTTGCTTTTAAAACAGTGTGTGTGTGTGTGTGTGTGTGTGTGTGTGTGTGTGTGTGTGTGTGTGTGTGTGTGTGTGTGTGTGTGTGTGTGTGTGTGTGTGTGTGTGTGTGTGTGTGTGTGTGTGTGTGTGTGTGTGTGTGTGTGTGTGTGTGTGTGTGTGTGTGTGTGTGTGTGTGTGTGTGTGTGTGTGTGTGTGTGTGTGTGTGTGTGTGTGTGTGTGTGTGTGTGTGTGTGTGTGTGTGTGTGTGTGTGTGTGTGTGTGTGTGTGTGTGTGTGAGAGAGAGAGAGAGAGAGAGAGATTTTGGTTGGGTGACAGTTGTAGGTTACAGTTTGACAAGAGTTTACAGTGTGACAAAAGCACAATGTTGTGTTTTATTGCGAGTGTACACAAATATAAGTAAACACTTTGCAGGTTTAATGATCTGTATGAACAAAATGACGGAGTATGTTTTTTTATGTTTCCACTGTTCGATCGCGGCCGCGCCTCTCTCTCTCTCACACACACACACACACACTCCAGCATTGCAATCTTGACATCGCAGCCTGTTCATTATGCGGTCACACCAAACGCGAATAGAGCGTTAAATTCGCGTCTAGTTCGACGCTAGTCCAAAGCGAATAGGACGCGCGTATAAAGCCAACGTTTGAAGTGAACGCGCGTTCAGAGCTAAGCCGATGGTAGCCTACAGATTATGTGTCCCTAAAGAACCCGCGTATCTAACAGTAGTTCCGCATTACATTCATTAATTTTCACGCGAGTTTTATTTATTTTTATACCGTGTATTCTCCGTGTAAATTCGTGCACCGAACCGTGACGCCCGTACCGTTTCGGTTCGGTACGAATACATGTACCGTTCCACCCCTAGTAACAAGGCATGATGGATCCATGTTCTCATTCTGTTTACGCCAAATTCTGACTCTACCATCTGAATGTCTCAACAGAAATCGAGACTCATCAGACCAGGCAACAGTTTTTCAGTCTTCAACGGTCTAATTTTGGTGAGCTCATGCAAATTGTAGCCTCTTTTTCCTATTTGTAGTGGAGATGAGTGGTACCCGGTGGGGTCTTCTGCTGTTGTAGCCCATCCGCCTCAAGGTTGTGCGTGTTGTGGCTTCACAAATGCTTTGCTGCATACCTCGGTTGTAACGAGTTGTTATTTCAGTCAAAGTTGCTCTTCTATCAGCTTGAATCAGTCGGCCCATTCTCCTCTGACCTCTTGCATCAACAAGGCATTTTCGCCCACAGGACTGCCGCATACTGGATGTTTTTCCCTTTTCACACCATTCTTTGTAAACCCTAGAAATGGTTGTGCGTGAAAATCCCAGTAACTGAGCAGATTGTGAAATACTCAGACCGGCCCGTCTGGCACCAACATCCATGCCACGCTCAAAATTGCTTAAATTACCTTTCTTTCCCATTCTGACATTCAGTTTGGAGTTCAGGAGATTGTCTTGACCAGGACCACACCCCTAAATGCATTGAAGCAACTACCATGTGATTGGTTGATTAGATAATTGCATTAATGAGAAATTGAACAGGTGTTCCTAATAATCCTTTAGGTGAGTGTGTGTGTGTGTGTATATATATATATATATTTAAGTTAATGTGTGATCGTCCAAGAAAGTTCTATACGTTTAGACCATGCCCCGTGGACTGTTTTTTACTTCTTTTACTGATTTTACTGTAAATGTTTGATCTGATTTGCCCTGATTCATGGTATAGAATGTTTGGCCTGATTTGGCCTAATTCCTGGGACAAAATGTTTGGTCTGATTCCTGGGACAAAACGTTTGGTATGATTTGGCCTAATGTTTGGGACAAAATGTTTGGTCTGATTCCTGGGACAAAACGTTTGGTCTGATTTGGCCTAATTCCTGGGACAAATTGTTTGGTCTGATTCCTGGGGCAAAATTTTTGGTCTGATTCCTGGGGCAAAACGTTTGGTATGATTTGGTCTGATTCCTGGTACAAAACGTTTGGTCTGATTTGGCCTAATTCCTGGGACAAACCGTTTGATCTGATTTGGCTGTTTACACTAAAAAGTACCTTCATATGCTTGCACGTCTCTTCGTGTCTCTGTGCAGGAGCTGCGTAAATATAAGGAGAACGAAAAGGACACGGAGGTTCTGATGTCAGCACTGTCGGCCATGCAGGACAAGACCCAGCACTTAGAGAACAGTCTGAGTGCTGAGACCAGAATTAAACTTGATCTCTTCTCAGCACTCGGAGATGCCAAGCGACAGCTAGAGATTGCTCAGGGTCTGCTCTTTTCCTGTCCTAATAAAGCTCTATATCGACTATATTTCTGCTTCCGCTCTCACTAACCTATAGTCTTTTTGCCCTGCTCGCAGGTCAGATTTTGCTGAAGGATCAGGAGATAAAAGAATTGAAGCAGAAGATCGCAGAGGTCATGGCGGTCATGCCCAGCATCACCTACTCGGCAGAGACCAACAACATGACCCCTGTGACCCCACATTACTCATCCAAGTTCATGGACACCAGTCCTTCCAGCTTGGACCCCAATGCCTCTGTCTACCAGCCGCTCAAGAAGTGAATGTTCACACACGTCGTCCACTTCGCTCTTTGATTTGTCTAAAAGTTCAGTATGCAAACCAGTGGGATGGGGTTGTATTTTTGTTTGATTTACCCCTTCTGTTAGTATGTTATTGCTAATATAAGTGGAGGATTAGAAGGGAAAAAATGGATGTCACATTAACAAGAACTGCCCTCCTGGTGTTTGAAGTTATTTTTGAAGCTCTTCCACCTAAGTTCTTTTCTTGGTAACGGCACTTCAGCCTATTGTGGTTCTTTTGTCATCCTATATCCGTTTTGTGAGGTCTTAATGAAGACCTTTCATGATTTTATTAGTACCACCCCATCTTTGTGTTGAATCTGAACCGTTTTATGTGCCAGAAATGTTGGCATGACTTTTTACTTCCCTGGTGTAAGCGTACATATTTAAGTTCTTTGAATGTAAAAAGAAAAGGGAAAAATGTACTGAGATGAGGCACAAGTATTAGTGATGGAAAACATGTCGTGTTTGTTGCAATGGAGTGATTAAGAATGCATTTGTTTAATTATGACCATAGTATTGTACATCTGTTTTCAGGGTGGTATAAATCATTTCATTACAGATGTTGGATCTGAATTAGTTATATTTTTTCAAATTTTCGGTTTCTCCCAATGCTGTTTTTCAAGATGTCGAAGACACGAAAAAAACCCGCGTGTTTAAAAAGGGACTGATCTTCACATTGTATTTGTGGACAAAAATGCTGCATAAATATTTGGGAATGTTGTCGTATTTTGCGGTCAATGCAAGTCCTTTTTGTTACCGGACGAAATTGAAATAGAATTTAGTTAAAACCAGTTGAAAAACTGGACATATGATGTCTTGTTTGCCAGTTGTTATGTTACACAGTGCCTTGAAATATCTTGTTTAATATATTCTCACACACTTCCCATGCCATGTTCAACCACTCCTAGAATCCATCTGATTGGTCAGCATACCATATGACCTGTTATTCCCAAGTGTGGCATTTAAAATCATCTGCCCTCTTGTTGCCATGTGTTTTGTCAGGGGGGGGGGGAAACACAGATAACAGCAAGCCCACTTTAATCCACTAGTTATCAGTGTTCCATTATTTCTGCTGTCTCTAATTTGCGTTAACATGTTCATTGCATTTTATAAAATTCGCTGAATGGTTTGATTTTGGTCAAATGTGCCAATTTTTTCTCCCCTCCTCCATTTAATGTCATTGAAGATAATGCAAACTATACATGCATCATTTTATAGAGCTCTCATTGCAGATAACGTCTAAAATCAATCCATTAATGCTTCATTACAAAGTTCTACTTCACATTTCTTCTTCATTGGTTTAAGGATTGTGTCAAGATCCAGGCAGAATATGCCTGTTTGGTTTAGTCCTTGTTTTACAACAGGGGTTTCTTTTTTATTTGTCTACCTTGGGAAAGTATTACTGTGGATTGCATTTGGTGTTTTTATGGTAAACTTTGTGGAGAGTAAAGAACACGCCTTTGTTTCTCATTTTTTGGATTTTTTAAAGAACCAAGCTATGGTTCAAAGTGTGTGTGCGTGCGTGTGTGTGTGTGTGTGTGTGTGTAGGGGAGTAAAATACCTTATCACTGTTCTTGATTTGAAGAATTTGCACTTTATTCAAGTGCTATTGAACTTGAATATGTGTGTGTGTGTGAACAAAGTGTGTGTGCGTGCGTGTGTGTGTGTGTGTGTGTGTGTGTAGGGGAGTAAAATACCTTATCACTGTTCTTGATTTGAAGAATTTGCACTTTATTCAAGTGCTATTGAACTTGAATATTTCACAATTACATTTACAAGGGAAAAAAAAATGTTTTACTCCTTTCAATGTCATTTTGCCTTCTAAATACTTCATAGGTCATCATAACTTTAATCTTTACTTATTTTTACACTTTTGCAAATGTAATGTGATTACAGCAGTTACATATATCATTTTAATGCTAGATTTAATTGGCTTTAAGTTTGGTCATTCGTCCTTGTGAAATAGAATCATGAAAAAGTTTTTTCATTTACTAAAATAAAATAAAAACCTTAAACGTATTGTTCTTCAGCTAGTCGCCAAGGCAGCATTTCTTTTTTTGTTTATTAAGGTACAAATTTTTTTTAATTTAGTCAAATCTATATAGACATTAAAAAACTATCAAAATTACTAAAACTTTGAAATTAAAATAACAAAATATATATATATAAAATAATATATAAAAAATTGAATTCAAAATATGAACAAAAACTACAGCAGTGATTCTCAAATAGGGGGCCCGAGACCCAATAGAAACCTTCTGGGGACCGCAGGATGACTGAAAATTATTCAAATGAATACTTTATTATTAATCCAATTAATGTTAATAACATTATTAGCAAAAAATTAAAATGCTAAAAAAAAAAAACATTTATTTTCCCCCTCCTAAATAAGTAGGCTATCCGTGTGTTGTTGTTTTTTCAAGCTTTATCATAAATACCAGAAATACTGACGGATATATTTTATGAAGGGGCCTTCGAATTGTGTTGGACAGTGGTGGACATTCAAGCAAAAATGCTCAACCACGGAATATTTGACTTAAAACAGCGTTTTATTGCCATAGTGGAATATAATACTTGACCGAGTCTCAATAGAGGACGATTTCTCCTATATCCAGACGAGGGCGACAAAGATGAAATCAATAGATCTCTATGTTCGTGTCACTTGTTTTTCATGTCTGTCGTGCTATTCTGCGAGACACCTAAACCTTATGAATGTTGACTTATCATCAAGCATTATAGGGAGGTATGAAGTAGCCGCATATACAAGGTTGCTTCATAAAAGCCACTGTCTGATTTTCGGACCCAGCCATTTAAAAAGCAAGCACACACCAAATGCTTCGAATGGATTGTTTAATGCCGTTTCCATGGAAACAGAATGTGGGCGCCGCGTAATTCGAACGTCATTTTGATTGACGGATGAAACACCGCCCAGGAGACTCGAGGACTCAAGTATTCCCACAGATGTCGGCATCGAAACGGCAACAACAAAGTTGGGAGTGAGAAGACGTTCATGGCCAACAGCAGCACCTGAAGACGCTTCTCCTCTTGAAAACCTCGTCATGGATGTGCTGAAATCAGCCAGAAGGGCTTTTATTCGGAGTCCCAGCCTGACCAAACAGTCCTGGAGCTCAGGCAAACACCAAAGTGAGTATTCGTGTCAACAGCGAGACTTTTTGTTTGGGGTGTTTCCACGCGTCACTTGTGTTGTTGTCCATCATCCGTTAGCATCTGAACTTGATTTGTCAATAGTGTTTAATCATGTTTAGTAATACAATCAAAAGATGCAGTTTGCCTAGTAGTTGTGAATCTGTATTAGTTAGTGTGTGTGTGTGTGTGTGTGTGTGTGTGTGTGTGTGTGTGTGTGTGTGTGTGTGTGTGTGTGTGTGTGTGTGTGTGTGTTTAATATGATCTAAATATTCTGTGCAAAATTTGTGAACGACACAGACGCATTTTTACAGCTGTCGGCGAGATTCACAATCTTCATTCGAAACTAGAAGTTTTGAGGTTTATTAGTGGTTGACCTTGTCTCAAAACCTGTTGAGCTAACTTAACGTACCTATCTATGCAGTTGTAATGCCCAAATACGCTGTCTAGATTTTGAGACATGGCTTTGCTGGAGCATGTCGCCAACAAGATTAGCGTGTTTTTCATTAGCCCTCAGAAACCCATACTTTTATTTTTGCGAGCCACTTTTGAAGCTTATTTTGTTTTGTGGTTAATATTTGCGGGGTTGCACAATATCACCACTGTAAAAGCAAAAATGTTTTGTTAACCAACTTTTTCATTTGTCATCATTTACTCACCTCATTTACTGTTGATCCAAACCTGAATGAGCTTCTTTCTTTTGTTGAACACAAAAGAAGATATTTTAAAGAATGTTGTTAACCAGACAGTTGACGTTGACGGACCCCATTGACTTCCATAGTATTTTTTTCCCTACTATGGGAGTCAGTGGGTGTCTGTCTGGTTACTACATTCTTGAAAATAGCTTATTTTGTGTTCAACAGAATATTAAAACTAATACATGTTCGGAACAACTTGAGTACGAGTAAATAAATGATGACAATTTTCATTTTTGGGTGAACTTTTCAGGATGTTCTTCTCAGAGCGCTCCTCTGACTGTCTTTAAAGTTTAATTAGGAAACATTGAAAATCATTTGTAATATTAATCTGTGTGGCTTCATTGTGTGAATAAAACAGAAAAATGTTAACCATTTAAAGGCAGGGTATGCGATTTGTTCCAGATTTTCTTTTTTGTTGTTATGCTGGTCTTTTCACATCCTAATAGCAATCACTAAGTTAAGTGGTCTTAATGTGACTTATATATATATATATATATATATATTTATATATCGTCTGTGAAAGGCGTAGGACCATAAAATCTTTGTCCAATCGGTCCGAATTTGGTCCAGTACTCAATTAAAATAGAAATCTATTTTTAATCTAAGTCGCTTTTGATAAATTGATTGCATCCTTGCTAAATAAAAAGTATTAAATGACCTAAACTTTTGAATTCGCCTTTGGCTAAGCCACACCCTAGAATGTAGATTGACCAATCACAGCGCAGCCAAGAACGAGCTCCCACAGAGGTCCGACACTTTTTCACTGCGCTCCATTGACTTTAACACAGGCGTCTCATATTTTTGGTCTCGGCAGGCTATTACCGTCGTAGTTTTATCAAAAATATGGTTAAACGTTGTTCCTGGGGCATTTGTAACACTGATACGCGTTTCCCAGAGAGGTTGGAGGGGGGTGTGTGTTTTTTTCCCTTCCCAATCCCGAAGTCAAATCCTGACGTGTCGTCTAGCACACGCTGCTAATAAATACAACGTTATACTCGCGTAGTCCGTTTGCTTTGTAATAACGATTATAGAAGTGAATAGAGACCTACCCAGCTTTGCATGAACAGTGTTGCTCCTTGATATTGTTAGTCCCAGCCTCCGTCTCGATTAGTAGGATATGCGGTGGTTCATTTTTTGACTGTGACCCTTATGCTTTTGCCTCTGTTTGGATGCCTTGTTGTTCCTTGCGTTTCACCTGTATGTCGTGAATATAGCCTTCGAACGTATATTGCAGCCCCTTTTGCCTACTTTTATCGGACAATTTATTTTTGCTTTATAAAAGTTTGATAAAATGTCAGCAGGAAGAGCTGTCACAGCATAAGCCATATTGATACCAAAGCCCAGATGCAGTTTGTTTGTCGGACGTAGCAACAGTAACTAAGGGGGCAGGGCTTAGCCAAAGGCGAATTGTGTATTAAGGTTGATATTTGCGAGACATATAATCACTTATCAATCACAGAACAGTCATAGACTCAGAGATCAAGGTTATAGGTCAAGTACTTAAAATACTTTTTTTTTTTTAAAGGAAATGAGCTAAATATGACCCAAAACACTGGGAAATGGTGTGAGTAAACAGTGAGTAGTTGTGTGACTTTATAAAGCTGTGGCACTCGAAATGGCCATCTGTTTGTTGCCAAAAGTGTTGCTGTGATACAGTCAGAATTTCCCCTGCAGTTAGGGAAAAATAAGTCATTTAATTGATTTAAACAATTGTTTTGCAGTTTTGGTACAGTGGGTTTCTGAGGGTTAATTAACAAGGGACCTTATATGAGAAGTTGCCAACAACGGTTTTGTGAATTAAACAATGCAAAGCCAGCAGTGTGATTTTGTCTGCATCTAAAATCATTTTCTCTCTCTTTGGCATCCATCCTGGACTACAAGTACCTACTTGTTTGCTGGTATCAAGACATCCTAAAGCACGTTTGTTTCAACAAAGAAATACTTCTTCAAAGTTGCAGTGGACAAGCTCAGAACTAAGCTTTGAAAGCAGGTGAAGTGGGCTGGCTTGGTCTTAACAAGTGCAAAACCAATTTCTTTAGTGGGATTAGAACGTTTGCTGTGCATTTTCGTTTCCCCTTTAAAGGGATAGTTCGGCCAAAAATGATATTTAAACCATGCATTACTCACCCTCAAGCCGTTCGAGATGCATATGTCAATCTTGTTTCAGACGAACACATTTTCAGTTATTTTAGAAAATGTCTTAGACCCTTCAGTGGATATAATGTGAAGCAATGGGGTCCACCTCCTTCAAGTCCCAAAATGTGCATATATCCTTCACAGAAGTCATCCATCCGGCTCCAGGGGGATAAACGAAGGCCTTATGAGGGTAATCCGTGCGGTTTTGTCGTAAAAATATACATATTTAAAACTTTATAAATGAAAATATCTGACTTCCGGCAACGATCGATGCACGTTCACGGGTGATGTTTTGCTCTGCTCTCTGGCTGCGCGGGCGCGTTCGTTCTACGTCACGACGCTACGTCCTACCTCGTACGCCGACTTCCATCACCCGTGGACGCGCGTCGATCGTTGCCGGAAGTCAGATATTTTCATTTATAAAGTTTTAAATATGTATATTTTTACGACAAAACCGCACGGATTACCCTCATAAGGCCTTTGTTTATCCCCCTGGAGCCGGTTGGATTACTTTTGTGAAGGATATATGCACATTTTGGGACTTGAAGGAGGTGGACCCCATTGCTTCACATTATATCCACTGAAGGGTCTAAGACATTTTCTAAAATAACTGAAAATGTGTTCGTCTGAAACAAGATTGACATATGCATCTCGAACGGCTTGAGGGTGAGTAATGCATGGTTTAAATATCATTTTTGGCCGAACTATCCCTTTAATTCTGTCTCGACTCCACAAAAGCAGCTGTTTGTTGGCTGAGAGCTGCTTATCTTTATGACCTGGAATGCAAGAAGTCTCCAAGTACACGGTTATGATTGTTTAGTCACAATCCAGTCACAGTGAAAAGGCTCAGGCTTTTGCCGGAATGGTAAAAGTTTCCAACATCAGCAAGTTACCAGTGTTTATAGGTTGTTCTCTCAACGGCTGAGTGATGGAGAATAAGACGCACTTGTGTGTTTAACATTCTTTTGTTGAACTACTGACCTACTTTTAGCTCCAATACAGACTTCACCTCACTTCCCTCCTTTTTGTTGGAATCCAAACAAAGATCTTTTTTGTTTTGTTTTCTTTGACTTTGTTGCAGTTGTTCATTTTGTTAGCTGGGTTGTGTATGTTATCTCTTTAAACAAGTGGTTCTTGTGGGTCAAAACCTAAAATGGGTCACAGATAGGGTTGAGGTTAAAAGTGAAAAAACAGTGGGTCAAAGAATGTCTGTGCTAAAGAAAACTTCAAATCTAGTTCGAAGCACGTGCCAATTTTTAGAACTGAAATCTTTGTTTTCATGTTGATTCTTTCATTATTTAATGCTATCAATATTTAACACGAACATGGTGATCAATTAAGAGGTGTATTAAATTCATTGTATGTGTGAATTGCATCTTTATCTAATAAATTTGATAAGTTTGTCAGAAAATGTGCATATTGCCAATGCTAAATGCAGATAATCAAATGAAAGCAGCCATATAATTATATGCACAGTTAGGATAGCAAAATGAATGGGCTTATCAACTTTTAAAGGGGAGATTTGAGAACGATTCACCTTGTTATAGTTTATAATTACTTTCCTTCCTCTTGAACTTCTCATTCAGCTATATCTCCTATGATCATTTCTCATCAGAGTGATCAGAAATGTCCTTCTTGCTGCTCCAAAGTCATGTGCCTCAACAGAGAAAGTGCATAGCTTGCAGCAAACATCGCTGCATTGTAATGAAGAGAGAGTTTTTATGGTGTTTTATAGTGGTGAGATTTATCGCCTCATGCCTCTGGATCTTTGGTATTTGTCGGTGCCCTGCACATACTAAAAAGGGAGGCGATCTGACGCAGAGCGTGAGGGAGACGTCCAGCAGCTGTTGAGGCTTTTCCAGGCAGTCCATTTGATAAAAGCATTAGATATTAACCTTTCATGTTTCATGAGGAGTCATGTGGAAGTAGAAGCATGAGTTCAGACTTGTTATTAGGGAGCCTTAATTTAAAAAAATCAGATAAAAATTCTCACAAAGCCATCATCATCCCATCAAACTTTGATATGGTCAGTTTAGTTGTTTGCAATTCACATTAGAAGAATAAATATGATAAATCTGTCATCTCAATGTTCTCATTAACATGTTCCTATCACTTGGGTCATCTACTTTTATCTGCATTTGTCTTTTTAAGCAAGAATGATTTCCTGTTTCATTTTGAAAACTAAACAAAGGACATTCTTTCCTCTCTATCTGACCGAGATTGAAATAACTCCCAACCTTACCGTGACTTCAAGTCAGAAAAAAAATCACCCCACAATTTTGCACCGTAATCATATCTGGCCTAAAAAGCCAGTTCAGTTTTTGGAGCTTGGAGACAACCAGTGGTTTGGGTCACTCCACCCCTTGGATGTTTCTCCAGGAACATGGTTAAGACAAAGTAGTGTTTCCCCCCTGTGATTAAGGGCCCTTGGGTGTGTCACTAATCAGTATGTCACTAGGGCTGTATTATTACGCCCTTTTCCATTTCTCCATGTCTATGAATTACCCTGGTTTTATGCTGGGGTTGTAGGGCATCATCAATAATTTCATCATGATATGTTATTTCAGGAGCTGTGGGCAATGTAATGATATAGATGGATTCTATTGTGTCTAAGTCATTTGTCAGCCTTTCAGTTTCTTTGTAATTGTTCGATCATCCTTGGTGTGGCTGGTTCTGTTTATAAATGAAATGACACATTAGAGCTTTAAATTTTGCCCTTGTCATGACATTCTTCAGTCATCTTTGTTTTCTGTTAGCTGTACACAAGAATTAACAATAACTTTCTGAGACTATGATTCACTGTAGTGTTTCCTGTGATTGTGATTCCTGTAAATATATGTATTACGGATGAATAATGGTTAAGTGTTTAGGAGGTCTAGCAGACCAGTGGCTTGTTCAGACCAAAGTAAATGAGATACAGGAATTGACTTTTCCTTAGTTCAATATAAATTATAATGCTATTTAATGTTTTATATATAACATATAGGTGGATTATACGATTTATTAGGAACATATAGAAAAATAACACAATAAGGTGAACTTTGTGGGACTTGAATACCTGTGATGAACAAATTTGACTAAATGAAAAATGTCTCCTCTGTTTTGGCTTGGTGCCTTTGTGTTGTAATTCCTATAATTTATCTATGGGGATTTTCTGAATTTTAAATGTTATAGCTCCACTGCCAAAACAATTTATTACAATTTATTTTCTGAAAATACCACTACTAAACTAACTAATACAATACATATGCATTTATATGAGTTAACCTAACTCAATTTTTTTTTATTCCAGAAGTGTTCAGTAGGGGTTCAAGCTGCCTTTGTGCAGGCTTTAAGTTCTTCCACGTTGTTTTTAGTGAAGATGAGCTGAGAAAAGATACTTTTCCAAAGACACCGGTTCAAGATAGACACGTTTAATTTCTTGAACTTTCCATCTCTTTACAGCTGCTCCAGGCCTTTGATTGTCTTTGTCTGTTTTCAGTCAGCCCTGGGAATAAAGTTGTACAGAGGCATCCAAAATGTTTGTTTTTTTTGCCTGGAATATTTGAGTCTCTTGAGGAAAGGTTGATTCCAACAAATATTTACTCATGCACTGTTTTTTCTTTCTTTAATATTTCATAACTGTTCATGACCTCTGCAGCGCAAGTCTCTTGTGTGCACTTTGGTTGAAGTTGTTTACTGTTTATCTGTGCTGACTTGGTTTAACCCACATGTGTAAATGTTTTTGTAGCTATTCAGCGTTGCTTCATAAACTCTTGACTCTGTTCGTATTTTTTCTTCTTCATGCAGAGCTCCCTGAGAATTGGACTGACACAAGAGAGACTCTTCTCGAGGGAATGACCTTTAACCTTCGTCATCTGGGGATGACTCTGGTGGACCAACCCAAAGGCGAGGATCTCTCAGCTGCTGCTGTCAAGAGGATTGTTGCCACGGTGAGTTCATTTGTCGTAGCTTGGATATGAAGATATTAGAATATCTAAAGACCATAATATCATTGTGACAGCCTAGCAACCACATAGCAACACCCTGGCAATCACCTGGAATACCCTAGCAACTGCATAAAACATTAAAGACACTCAGAAAATGTTAGCAACTGCATAGCAAGGCCCTGGCTCATAGCCTATAAACCACATAGCAACTCCCTGGAAATCACCCAGAATACCCTAGCAACTGCATAACAACAAACTAAAACACTTATAACACCTTAGAAACCGCATAGTAATCATACAGAACCGCATAGAATCAAGTTCTGCACGGACACATAAATTGCATAGACCACGGACAAGCAGCAATATTAAAAATGTTTTCATATTTATTCATTTGTTAGGCCAAAGCCAGTGGGAAGAAACTGCCTAAAGTGGCCCTGAAAGTGTCTCCTCAGGGAATCATCTTGTGCGATAGTGTGTCTAACCAGCTGATCGAGAACATTTCCATATACAGGTGAACTCTACACACCTCAGCTCAACTACTACTTCTCTCACGTTCAACTGCCTGTAAAACATTCACTTGTTGTGCCACTGAACCACATTAGAGTATGTAAGAAGTGGTCTCTGCACGCTTCCTCTTCTCAGAAGTGAGTGTGTCTGACCTACAGTGGAGATGATTTATCCTGCCATCCAGTGTTTTACCGTACACACACACACACACACACACACACACACACACACAGGCGCAAAAAGTGGGTATGCGCTATATGCGGCGCATAGGGGCGCAGCACCATGGGGGGCGCCAAAGCGATGGTAAAAAAAAAAAAATTAATTTAAAAAATAAATATATAAATATATATATATATATATATATATATATATATATATATATATATATATATAAAATACAATATATATATATATATATATATATAGAAAATACTATATATATATATATATATATATATATATATATATATATATATATATATAGAAAATACTATATATATATATATATATATATATATATATATATATATATATATATATATATAGAAAATACAATATATATATATATATAAAAAATAATATATATATATAGAAAATACTATATATATATATAGAGAAAATACTATATATATATATAGAGAAAATACTATATATATATATATATATATAGAAAATACTATATATATATATATATATATATATATATATATATATATACAGGGACGGACTGGGACTAAAAAACGGCCCTGGACTTTGACTAGGCCCGGCCCAAAGCAATCGGTGCGCGGAAACTCGACAACAACAACAATAACGCCTGCTGCCATGAGTGTCACTTTAACTGTGGCTCATCATACTATACCATCCAAATTATAGCTAACAGCATATTATACAATCTATTCCATGCTGTCTTAAAATGAATTTATTACTTAATAATCTTAATTAGTTTATGCAGTAATTAATCTTTGCTACTGCACAAATAATAATACCACATCTAAATGAAAATACACCATTACAAATGTAACTTCTGTATTCAAAATCTTCAAAGTTTGTAAGCATTAACTGTAACATTACCAACATTTTTAAAAGTAAAAGCACAACATATTTCTTAATATTAGCAACTGCATGTGGCATTTTACAGCTAAAATGTTGAAGTTTAGCTGTTTTAACTACTGTAATCATTAAAAATGTAGCAAACTGAATATCACTTCCTAACATCATCCCTAGCAAGTAACTTGCAAAGTAATTTCTGATTAATTCGGTTCGGGAGTAGTAGAGATAAAAGCCCGCCCGCACTGACAATTGATTGGTTGGGTCCTTACATGCGCTTCGTGAGGCACACGCGCACACTAGCACACACACTACCGGGAGATTCCCGGTGGGCCGACGTGCTTTTTCGGCCGATACATCTCATACATTTTTTTTTTTTTTTTTTTTTTTTTTTTTTTTTTTTTACGGCCCATAAAACTCGTACATCGGCGGCCCATTCGTTTTTTTTTTTTGCTTAATTGGCGGCGCTGGGTTAGTGCCGGTGTAATGCATTGGCCAAAAAAAGTTTTTTTTCTGACACACCGGCCCATGAAACATGTCATCATGTGCTTATATCTTTCAAGTATAGAAATTAGTACAAAACTAATTATGAAAGTTTCCTTTATTTTTCAGTGCATTTGTTTTACAATATATGGCTATTACTATCATGGGATTAATATTATAACTATTATTTTGTAGTAGTGTAATGTAGACAGACACTAACTAAAAGAGGTTTGAATTTTTCTTTGTTTAATTTTCACCCTGAATATGGGTTGGCGCTTTTGATTTTGAACTCTCAAAGTGCAAAAATTTTTGCTGCATATACCCCTCTGACACTGGGTAGTTGCGCCCCTGCACACACACAATCAATTCTTTTCAATTCAAAAGGCTTTATTGCTGGTTTAGTGCTCAATTATTAAATGGTGCTCAATTAATAATAATGGTTCCCTTTCGAGGGAACTCGCGATGCGTCACTTGACGCTTTGGGAGCGCCCCCAGCGTGAATGCGTCTGAGCATCAATGTCAACTAGTCCAATGGAAAGAATGAGCGTCACGGGCGGGTGACGTCATGACCAGGAAGGCATAAGAGCACATCCGGTGAAACGCGGCATTAGCTTCTGTGTCTCAGCAAGCGATCTGTGTTACTCTGTCTCTGTCTATTTATTGTTGTCTGTTCGATATTATTGGGAAGAGTTATGGCGAAACAACTTTACAAACTCTGTGCTTCTCCCTGCCCGCGTTATTTAACGGGTGGGGACACACACGAGCTTTGTGTAGTTTGTTTGGGAGTGGAGCATGCGGTATCAGCCTCCGAGGGGGCTGATTGCAACATTGTGAGAAGCTTTCGCTTCGCATGCTCCACTCCCGCCTGTCACTTTTTGAGGAAAGTGGCCAGGCTCGCGATCCTCGGGGTGCAGGACACGCGTCTGCCGAGGCAGCGTGGAGAATGCATTCCTGTGGATCGCGAATAGGATCTCGTTACGGGGTTGGAGACGGGTCCGCGGATCTTATCTCCTCCCTTTCCACGAGGGATCCAGTGCTCTCTCTCCGGTCTCGGAAGCCCCCGCTGCGGTCTCTTCCGCCCGGGGAGAGAAATCAATGCTTCAGTGCTCTACCTCCGAGGAGGTAGATGTGCTGGGCATTGAAAGTGTACACAATCATGGGGGAAGTGGATTTGCCATCTCTTCCCCAGCGTATGAGAATTATATATAGCCTATATATATATATATATATATATATATATATATATATATATGATAGTTTATATATTATATATAAAATAAAGTGTATATATATAAAGAATGTATATAAAAAAATATATATATAATAATAAGCTGGTGGAGGTGTTTACTAAGGCTGTAGATAAATTAAATATTTAATGGCCAGCAGAAATAAGGGGGCACTCGTCCTTAAAATAAATTGAACGAGTTTCCTTCCCTCTATTTTTCCACCTCCATCACGGGGCCTTCCATTTTTCCCGATCTGCACAGCGAGCTGTCTAGATCATGGAAAAAGCCTTACTCATTTTTTAGCCCCACATTCATGTATATTCAGATATTTGGGGGTTAAGAGAGTATGGCTATGGGGCAATACCCCGGGTAGAACAGACACTTGCGAGCTATGTCTCCCGGTTCAGTATCGTCCCTGAAGGCGTCGGCTTCTCTCACTAAACCATTAAAGAAAACTATTTTTTAATCTAGTGGGAAAAGCATATATGGCAGTGGGTCTAGCACGAGCCTGCTTGCACACTATAGCAGTGCTGCAAGCATATCAGGCTGACCTGCTGTGGTATTTGGACAGAAGTGAGGGAGTTTGGCCCGATGGGGTTTGAGAACTCCGTCGGGCCTCAGATTTATCTCTCAGGGATGGCAGCCAAAGAAATGTGGTCACTGAGAGACACCTCTGGCTCAATTTGATGGGAATCATGGAGAAAGATACAAGATAATCTCTCCCTCGCTATGTCCAACCCACTGGGGCTGCTGGGCGTGAGCAGCTCCAGCCGGCTAGTTTCTCATACACAACACAGCAGCCAAAGCCTTCAAAGCAGAAGCCGGATCCGAGGACCGTTCTTCATGCTGAGAAGGCTGCGGCTCAAAAGAAAAGAGGGCAGCCCCAACCGGGGTGGAATGGTGTACACCTCATTATACGGTGCCCTTTCCATCTCTGTGCCCTCAGGGGACCGTTCTGCCAACCCCGCCACCCTTGGTGCTTCGGGGCGCAGCGTTCTCCAGCGAGCTTCTGGCGCAGCGTCAACTCGACATTGCGTCGGACTCGCGCCCTCTGAGGGGGGTTCGAAAACAGTCAGTTACACCAGAGGCTGTCTTTATTACACCAGAGGCCAGCCTCGAGGGGCTGGTTCCCTTGGTAGATTTTCTGGCAGCGCGGAAGCTACTGCCAAATATATCTCTATGGGTAATGGTAATCTCTCTGGTAATGGAGCAAGGGGTAAAGGCCCTGTTAGCAAAGAAAGCTATAGAGCAGGTGTACTCACCCGACATTGCGTCGGGTCTTTACAGTCGTTATCTCATTGTTCCAAAAAAGGATGGAGAGCAGCGTCACATACTAGATCTTCGCCTGTTGGAGTGTTTGGTGCTGGAACTCAAGTCCAAGATGCTGACACTCAAACAGATCGTGACTCAAATCAGTTCCGAGGACTGGTTTGTCACGATAGATCTAAAAGACGTATACTTCCATATCTCCATCCTCCTTCAGCACAGGAGGTTCCTGAGGTTTTCTTTGGGGCAAAGAACACCAGTATCAGGCACTTCCTTTCGGTCTAGCTCTATCACCCCGCACATTCACGAAGTGCATAGACGCAGCTCTGGCCCCGCCAGGCTGCAGTGTATACGCATTCTGAATTGCATAGATGACTGGCTGATTCTAGCGGAATCAGAACAGTTAGCGGTTCGGCACCGAGGTGTCGTTCTCGCTCATATGCAGATGTTGGGGTTGAGGCTCAATGCCAAGAAGAGTGTGCTTTCTCCAGTACAGAGAACCACTTTCCTTGGTGTGGTATGGGATTCAGTGACGATGCGGGCCACTCTGTCGCCCGTTCGTGTAGCTGCTATCCTAACAGCCACAAAAGAGCTGAGGCTAGGCCAGTCACGCACTGTAAAACAGTTCGAGAGACTGTTGGGTCTTGTGGCAGTAGCGTCCAACGGGATACCTGTTGGCCTGCTGTACATGAGACCTTTGCAGTGGTGGCGCAGGACCAGAGGGTTCTCCCCGAGGGGAAACCCACTTCGTATGATCAAGATCACGCGGCCGGGCCTTCGTGCCTTGGTTATATGGAGGAAACACTGGTTCTTAACCCAGGGTTCGGTGTTGGGAGCTCTTTGCCATCGAGTTGCTATCTCGACAGATGCTTCCCTCACCGGCTGGGGAGCGGTATTGGAAGGCCGCTCAGCTCAGGGCTTGGGAGGAGTCATCATCTCGCTTGGCGCATGAATTGCCTAGAGATGATGGTAGTCTTCAATGCGTTGAGACATCTCCTCCCAGACCTGAGGGGCCATCATGTGTTGTTCTGAAACAGTGACTGTTAGGCCTCAGGGCAGCAGCGTTCAATGTGATACCCTTTGACCTGCTGTACGTGAGACCTTTACAGTGGTGGCTCAGGACCAGAGGGTTCTCCCTGAGGGGAAACCCACTCCGTACGATCAAGATCACGCGGCAGTATCCCCGCGCCTTGGTTATATGGAGGAAACTCTGGTTCTTGACCCACAGACAACACGTTGGTGGCCTATTATTTTGGTCCCTCAGGAAATTACGCTGTCTGAGGGCAGTGTATATTCCAGGGGGGCCAGAATATTGGAGCAGACACCCTGTCGAGGCAGGGGCTGAGGCCAGGGGACTCCACCCCGAGGCGGTGGAGCAAATATGGGAGTTTTATGGCCAGGCAGAAGTGGATTTGTTCTCGTCTCAGCATACGATGCACTGTCCACTCTGGTTATCCCTCACTCAACCAGTCCCCTCGGGGCTGGTTGCTATGGTGCAGACGTGGCTGAGGCTACGTCTGTACGCATTTCCCCCTGTTGCTCTGCTCCCAGAAGTTCTGGAGTGATTCCGCCAGGATGGAATAAGCCTATTTAGTAGCACCACCCTGGCCGAGCTGAATTTGGTTTGCGGACCTAATTTTTCTCCTCGACGGACCTCCCTTGGAGGTCCCGATCAGGAGAGACCTTCCGTCTCAGGCAGGGGATGCAATATTGCACCCCCGGCAGGGGATTTGGAAACTGTGGGTTTGGCCTCTGAGGGGGCCCAACTCATAGAGAGTGGTCTCTCAACCGAGGTTGTTGAGACCATTCTAAGCTCCAGAGCTCCCGCTACGAGGAAACTATATTCACTATTTCGAGAGTTTTTCACTTCTTGGTGTTACCAGCGTCAGTGGGATCCGGTTAACTGTTCAGTAAACACAGTATTCCAGTTTCTGCAAGAACGCTTTGTATCAGGTCTATGTCCTTCCACGCTTAAGGTATACGTGGCGGCCATTGCGGCTTTCCACGCCCTGGTGGGTAGTACATTTTTGGGTCGAGACCCCCTGATCACTCGTTTCCTTCGTGGCACTTAGAGGCTGAGGCCTGCAACTTGCACTAGGGTGCTGGCTTGGGACCTTGCAATAGTTCTAGAAGGCCTATCTGGGGCTCCCTTCGAGCCCTTAGATTTGGTCTCAGAGAAGTTCCTTTCTTTTAAGACTATTTTCTGCTAGCTATTTCGTCCCTATTAGAGTCAGACCTTCAGGCCCTTTCGGTCCCCACCTGCCTTGAGTGCACCGGGGATGGCCAAGGCATTCTTACCCGAAACATGGATATGTTCCAAAGGTGCCTACCATTATTCCGAGGCCTATTGTGCTGCAGGTTTCTGTCCTCCTTTTACATCTGCGGACCAGGAAAGGCTGAACCTCTTGTGTCCAGTGCGAGCACTGGATACTTATGTTCATCGGACATCTTCAATGAGGAAGTCCGACCAGTTATTTATTTGCTTTGGATCACCTAAGAAGGGTCTTCCTGCTTCTAAACAGACGGTTAGTAAGTGGATAGTCGAGGCTATTTCACTTGCATACGAGTACTCTGACCATCCGTGTCCCTTGGTGGTCAGAGCTCACTCAACGAGGGGTATGGCGGCCTCTAAAGCCTTGTTATTTGGGGTTTCTCTCCAAGACGTTTGTGATGCGGCAGGCTGGTCTTCACCGCTCACATTCGTCAGGTTTTACAGTTTGGACCTGGATGCTGCCCCAGGTTCTCAGGTGCTTAGTGCTTAGTTCCAACAGACTGACACTCAGGTACTTGGAATTCTGGCGTTTTGGGTATTCTCGTTCCCAAAGCGTCAAGTGACGCATCGCGAGTTCCCTCGAAAGGGAACGTCTCAGGTTACTACTGTAACCATAGTTCCCTGAGAAAGGGAACGAGACGATGCGTCACCCTGCCATACTTCCTGCATCCCTGTGATCGGCTTGCTTCGACTTTTTGAAGCTAATGCCGCGTTTCACCGGATGTGCTCTTATGCCTTCCTGGTCATGACGTCACCCGCCCGTGACGCTCATTCTTTCCATTGGACTAGTTGACATTGATGCTCAGACGCATTCACGCTGGGGGCGTTCCCAAAGCGTCAAGTGACGCATCGTCTCGTTCCCTTTCTCAGGGAACTATGGTTACAGTAGTAACCTGAGACGTTCTTATTATTATCAATGTTGAAAACTTTTTGCTCCTAAATATTTTTTGGGAAACTTTTGAATGGTGGTTTCATGGTTTCCACAAAAATATGAATCAACAAAAAATGTTTTCGACATTGATGATAATAATAAGAAATGTTTTTTGAGCACCAAATCAGCACATTAGAATGATTTATTAAGAATCATGTGACATAACACTGAAGATTTGAGTAAAAATGCTGAAAATTCAGCTTTGCCATTCCAGGAATAAATTACATTATAAAAACATATTAAAATTGGAATAAATTGTTTTAAATGAGTAATATTTCATATTATTATTAATATTGTTTTGACTATTTTTCATAAAATGAAGTTCCAACGCTGTCTGCTCCATGTCCATGTCCCTGCAACTCATCATCATTTTGTATTTACTCAAACCTGACTGCAAGTCCTTAACGCTGGTCTGTTTTGTGACCCTTTCTCCCAGGATATCATACTGCACAGCTGACAAGATGCATGACAAAGTGTTTGCTTTCATCTCCCAGAACCAACAGAATGAGACGCTGGAGTGTCACGCGTTCCTCTGTGCCAAACGGAAAGTGGTGAGTGTTTGATGCTTTCCTTATGAAAGCTGTGAATCTTTCCATCAACACAAAGACTTCTGACTGGAACAAAAGGAGTCAAACTAAGCATGAAGAAGGACAGTTTTTCAGAATAGCTGACTAGATCACTTTCTCTCTGTTGAAGGACATGCTGTTCTTCTCAGCATAGCACAATGATACAAAGACATGTTAACATGCCTGTTGAGGCTAGATGGTGAGGTTTATATGCAAAAGCTTTTCCTACATAGGCAACATTTGAAGGCACTGCATGGGAAGGCTGTTCAGAAAGCTGGGAGATTTCAGAGATGCATTGTTTTGCATTGATATTTTTTATTCTTCAGAGAAAGTATTCTTTCAAAATGCACTGCAATTTGAGAAAAGTAACTATTGTTTTTTTATTTTTTATTAATACTTTTCAGTATTGAATTAAAGATTTATAGTTATTGATTATTTTACCCAATATTTGTTTGTACGATGTACTGTATTTGTATTCCAACAAAATAATAGAAACCTTCAGAAAAAAAATGTAAACCTTCAGTTCGCCCCCTTACATTCTTAAACAGTTAACAACACTCTCTAGAAGCTTTATATGAGTATCAATAAGGTATAGTGTCTCTTTTCAATACATGCAATAAAAATATTGATGTACATACACATTATCTATATGTAAAAAAAAATATATATATCTTTCCTGATTAAAAGTTATGTAAGAATCTCTAACTCTTGTAGATTAACAAAATGAATCCTGTGTAAGCAGTGGTATTGATTGAATACTCATAGGAAAATAATATTCTCTTACATTGACTACGTTTACAAGCAGCCAATAACCCGTTCAAAACCGGGAATATTAGCAATAACCCGGTCGCGCACGGCCATGTAAACACCGGCAAAAACCAGAATATGCTCATATTCCGGTTTTTAAAAACCCGAATATGATCCCTGGGTTACCCCTTTTCTAACCCGAATATTTGGTCATGTAAACGCGTATCGGCATATCCCCATCAAAAGGAACATTGATTTGTGTTCTGCGCATGTTCTATTTGCAAGGAATCTTGGTCTTTTGAGTAGAGGAACTTCTTGTATGCGCCTTCTGGAACATACAAAAACCCGCGTGCAGTATACCGGAAGTAAACAGGAAGTAGAGGTAAACATGACGAGACGTAGCACAGCACCATACTTTTGGAGCTGGTGGGTTAGTACCAGCACCAAAGCGCAAACAAAGGCGATCGCTATCTGCCCCGAACTATTCATTATCCGCGTGCTGCTGTTGTTGTTGTCTTTGGATACAGGAAGAAGAATCGGAAATGACGCATATTGCGTCTTAAGGTTGTCCGTACGTCCAGACGCTAACCGTGCGTCGCCGTTTACATCGGCATATTGCCAATTGAAATTCCATGTATACAGGAGTAACTTTCTCTGCTCACGCATGTAAACGGATTATTCCGAATGTTTCAGAAACCCGAATAGTGACCATAACCCGAATATTGACCGCTTGTAAACGTAGTCAATGATCTATAACTCCAGTTTGCAAACCACTGATCACTGACATTGAAACACCTTGTTTATATGTTGGATACGTCCATTGTTCTCTCCAATGTATATATTATGTCTGTGATTGAGTCATTGTTGTGTTCCCTCAGGCCCAGGCGGTCACGCTCACGGTGGCTCAGGCCTTCAGAGTGGCCTTCGAGTTCTGGGAGGTTGCCAAAGAAGGTACAGAGTTTCATATCTCTCCTCAAAACAATATGGAGGTCATGTATAACTGCAGAGAATCATATGCCACAAGTGGAAAATAATTTGTCACTTCATGTTTTGAAGGATTTGCAGATTTTGCACTCTTGATAGGGTCTTCAAGGGCATTGATGCTGTTGTGATTGATGATGGCAGTCAGAACATTGCTTTGTTGCCTTTTCTTGTTGTAGAAAAGATGGATGCACACAAAATGATGTACTTTTTTGTATTTGGAAAACAGGAGCCAGTTAATTCATCACCTTCCAAAGAAATCCTGGCATATTTTGTACCTGTCACACAATTTTAGAATCTTTGTATAGTAAGAATGCAAAGAACTTGGAGTGCTCCGTGAAAGCACCAAGAAAAGTAATTTATTTGTTTGAATTTGTGAATTTATTTGATTTGTTAAAGCAGGATTATTCATGATGTACTGTTGCTCTGCTTTCAGAGAGAGAGCATAGTGTGAAATGGGATTCAGCTGGAGAAACATCCAACAGTTCACAGTCAGAGGGATCGGTCAGCCTGACCAGCCTGAAAGGAGGAGGTACTGACTCCTTAAACTCTCTTTGCCTCCTTTTCAACTTTTTTTTTTTTTTGTGAGAAACTATCCCTTTTACACTTCAATATTATTATTTTTTTAGCTGTAGCTGCAGAGAACCTGTTGGACATCGAGGTTTACTCATCTGCTGTGGAAAACCCCACCGAACCCAACAACAACACCGCCACCACCCAATGGGTACGATCTTGTCCACTTATAAACATGTTTTTCTCTCATGAGTGACTGCCGACCATTATCTTAATGAACATATTCTAAACTGATCCTTATCTCAAAATCTGAATTTAATTTTTCTCTTTTTAGGAGACTGATGAAGGTCTAGAAGAGGCTTTTTCAAGGTATGAGGCACCCAGAGCTGTTCTTATCTCCTCTTTCAAGCTTCTGTTTCGTCTGAATCTCCTTTCTATCTCTCTTACGTGAGGGACAGGAAGGACAAATCCTTGAGAAGGGAGCTGCGTGTAAAAAGCATGCTGATAACCTCTCGCACATCAAAACGATCTCCAACTACAATCGTTCTTAAAGATTGTTGGAACCATTTGAAATGTTCCTATCGTTTGCTCCTTATAACTTCTTGGGCTTTGATTAATCATCCAGAGCAATTGACCAAAGGCATTTTCCCCATACTGAGGTCTCATGAGACAGATTGTCTCATTTTATTTGTTTACTCTCCACGGAACCAAGCTATTCCAGTAGTTTGGCAGGGTGTAATTAACCCTGCAAATGTAGAGTTGGCCTTCAATGATTTATTTCTGATGGCATAGATGACACCTGACCTGAATATTTGTGCTTTATGAGTACAAACTGATACATAGAATGCTTGGATGTTTATTTAACAACTTATATATATATATATCAGGGTTTCCGTTGTCCGGTAATTACCGGACATTGGCCGGGAAAAAAATGAAATGTCCGACAAAATTAAATCTCTCCGGTCAAATTGTCCGATTAAAATTGCGTAATAATCCCGCCCCCCTAACACAATATGAATTTGAGAATAATTCTAAAATGTATAAAGCAAAAATACACCGACCTTTGGCTATGTTATAAAAGAACAGGCTCTAGGGTTTGAAAGTTATAAAACAACATCGCATGCTGCATTTCAAATAAAGCGCACACCTAGAACGGCTGTAATATAGACCTAAACAACGAATGATTGAGTGAGACGTTTCAGATATGGCCAGGCCCATTGATATTATTGATAAAGTTGATGATGCAGACTCGCCATCTTCGCAGTAGTGAACGCGCCTATAGAGAGAAGTGTGCACGCGCCGGCGCCTCCGTGTCCTGATTAGCCTATATTGTCCACTATTGCTTCTTATTTATTAATCCAGGCAAATTTGTTGATGAAACATTGATTAAAATTAATATACAATTTATACAAAACGAAATTTCAAGCAAAAATAATATTCGAAGATCACTGGGTTGATTATTATTCGAAAATCGCAGCCCTCCACCACATGCACGCACACATGCATTAGACTATACACCAGAGCATGAGCAAAGCGGAGCGGTGTGACGCTTATTATAAGTTAAAAAACTTAAATATACGTTTCATATTTATAAATAATATAATGTTATTATTTTTTTTTTCATCTATGTTGATTAGGCTATATGAAAAGGGAACAGCATGAGATGAGTAAGATAGGATCACAAGATGACCAATAGGCCTATATATCGGAAAACATTTAGAATTGGTCAGACATGATTTTGACCACTTATTTAGTTTTGTTTTGTAGAAAGCCTTTCTTTAAAGTTTATTTCGTTTTGTATAAATTGTATCTTCATTTTAATGAATGTTTCATCAACAAATTTGCCTGGATTAATAAATAAGAATTTATTCATATGAAGTGAGCATTTCTCTCTCTAGGCGCGTTCACTACTGCGAAGATGGCGAGTCTGCATCGTCAACTTTATCAATTTATCAACAATTTAAATGTTTCATGCATAATCATTACTTTCGCCGGTTATTTGTGGCAAGCTTTATTTCAGGTGTTGCGTGATATCTCTGCGCCCAATAGCAGTGCTTCGCCTGTGTAGAGTCTCCGCAACGGCGATAGATTGAAACGCGCGTCCGAGTGAAGATTGCGCAAGAAGCTTGATTTAAAAAACAACTGATTTTAGCGCTAGATCTCTTATTTAATAGCGAACTAAATGAATGATCTGCTAGTTAACTGGATATGTTTTATTTATTTGTATTAGGTACATCCGTGCCTCAATGTTTCAAAAAGTGAATGTGTGTGAAACCATAGTAAAAAACAATTGGTGTTAATTGACGCCAATCGGACGTTCATGTTTTTTCCGTCTATTTGAAAGTTAGGCTAATAATAACATGTTGCATTCTATACGGCCTGATTATGTCATTTTTTAAGTTACATAGCCTGCCTCCAGTTTTCCTCAACTTGACTAATCAAGAGGCGATATTTGACCGGCATTTCATCAAAATGTCCGTTAAACGAAACCTCTGCCGGTCACTTTGACCGGCACCATTTTTTTCTAGCGGAAACTCTGATATATATATATATATATATATATGTATATATATATGTGTTGTTAAATTTTTCATGTCTGACAAAAGTAGACATGAAAAAAAGAAAAGATAATATATATATATATATATATATATATATATATATAAATATTTTATCTTTTCTTTTTTTCATGTCTACTTTTGTCAGACTTGCAATGGTAGCAATGCATAATTAAGACTTTATTTAAATAAGAAAATATATTAATGTACTGTATATAATACATGTTTATAATAATAATAATGTTAATATTAATTATTATGTTTGTAGAACTGATCACATGAATTAGAATAAAATAAAATAAATGTGTATATAATGCATGTAAATAACAAAAATGATGATGATCCTAGTATTACTACTAATAATAATTGGGACTATGCTTAATGTATTGTACTTGAATATATTTAATACATCTGTGTGTATAGTAATAATAATTTATTATTATATACACATGCATTATATACATTCATTTTATTTACATAGTCCCTATTATTATTATTATTATTATTATTATGTAAATAAAATAAATGTATGTAATACATGTGTATAATAATAATATATTAATATTGTTATTGTAAATGTGTTGTTGTTGTTATTATTATTATTATATACATTTATTGTATTTACATATTCCCTATTATGTTTGTACAATTGGCACATATATTTTAATTTGAAAAAAGGAACTGTAAATAAAGTAAATTTATATAATAAATGTGCATATAATAATAATAATAATAATGATTATTATTATTATTAGCAGTAGTAGTAACTTTTTATTTAGTCATTTATTAGTATTTCTTTAAATCTTGCATCAGAGGAAGTTGTTGTCGTCTGAGGGATGTGTTTCAATTTAATTGAAGAGCTTCTATATTGAGTAGCATCATGTTCAGGGTTGAAGCAGCTACTGTATTTAGCCTCTCATGTCTTCTAAAAAATGAATGTCGAGATTAATAAAATTCAGCTAAATTGGTTGATTAATGCATTGTCACCGTCATCAGAAAAGAATTAGGAACAGAGAAACATCCTGTAGCTCTCAAGCCCTTGATTGTTGTGCTCTCTCTTTGTTCCTAGCTGCAGTTTGGATAGCTATGAGTACTCTCCAGGTAACAAGTCCAGGTCAAGTCCTGTACCAAACGTCCACCCAAGCCATATCTGTCAGTCTGTAACATCATTCCCCTCCCCTGTTGTCTTCCAGAACCCTGTCAACTTTCACTGATCAACTCCACTAAATTAGCATCTGAGAACCCTGTCAACTTTCACTGATCAACTCCACTAAATTAGCATCTGTCCTGGCCTGGTACTGACCTAACAGACTGATCTAATTGTGAATTTGACGGCGGGGTTCTGCAATGATCCATATTTAAACGCAATTTGCCAGACAGATTTTTTTCTAGCATTATTATAAGGCTCGTTTCCCTCAGTCTCCCATCATCCTCAGCCTAGCCAGTTTGTATGTTATTTGTATTTCAGTTTGTCTTTTTCATCCTGTTTGTTTTTATCCCTGAACATTACATTGATGTATTGCATGGCTTTTAACCTTACAAATGAGACCATACCAGTTAAGTTATTAGCATAGTAAATAACATAGTAATCAACCAAACGTGGCTTTTAATGAAACTTTTCGGCACATGTGGGCAATTTCAGCATTATGGATGTGACTAAATCGGGTTTTATTTATTTTTTCCATGGTAAGGTTGACATTTGCATGGAATTGCCCATATGTTAATCAAACCTGCTGATATACTGTACATTTGCATCACTGTAGAGTTTCAGGTTGTTGTTTTGTTTTTTCTCAGTTTTGCATTCTTGTCTCTTTCCACATAGACTCGCTGAGTCTCGTACTAACCCCCAGGTCCTGGACATTGGGGTGATGCCTCAGGACTGGAACTCTGAGACCGAATGGGACAAGACCAATGGAAACACACCAAACGCCGATGAGCTCTCCAGCCTCTGAGCACAGATAGGTATGTGGGAGAAAGAAGGTCCGGGAAACAGTTGAAATGGTGGCGCGCTGGTCCTTCACATCCTGATCATCTGGTACATCACACCAAAGCAATAGCAGACGAGTCTATTTTTGCAACAACAAAAAAAAGCCATGTCTTACCTGAGTTTACATGCTTTATTTGTATCAATCGAATTGTATACAGAATAATGTATGTAGATACCAGAGTCAGTATTGTTTTCATGTATGAAAAGAAATGTGTATCATATGACATAACATCATGCCTATTCAGGTGCACTGTAGAGTTACTTTAAAGTCTAACTCTGTAGTTTGCTGCTTTGAAATGTATTTATCACCATAATGCTCTTCATTAATAATGAAACAGAAATCAGCGTTAAATTCACAGTACAGCATGTCATTAACGTCTTTTGAGGCCTTTGAGTCATATTTCAGTATTTACATGTGTATATTTTTTTATTTAATCAGGATTGTATGATTGTTATAACACCCCAAGGGGACATTTAATATTTCTCTAAAAAGTCTAATTAAAGTGTTAATATTATCATTGATGCTGTCTTATGGGTATTTTATTATTATTATTATTATTTATTAATATGTGATTATCTATAACATTTTATAATTACTAAATTATATTTGGTCCTATACAATTAAAAAAGAAATAGTTTTATTCTCCTTTTTTTCTACCGTTTTTAGTCACCAGAAGAGGGCAGCATTGCCTTCTAAATTTCTCTGGCTTTTCATCTCCCTTTTAGTCCTGTGTGTGTGCGCTTGCGCGTGTGTGTGTTGTTTTTTTATGCATTAGGTGGATTTTTCACGTTTTCTATATTTGTCCCAGATGGCACGAAATGCACTTGACACATGTGGAGCACCTGCAGCAGTGTCTGTTTGAAATGCCTCCGGAGAGATGTGCCATCTTTACTTTACCGAAACACAATCAGCATGAGAAATCCCTGTACTCCTCATGTATGACAGTTATTATGGCCTAGATGGCAATATATTGGAATGAGGTTTTACAAAAACCTCAGACCTGTAAATCATATCCCAAGAAAGTCTTACTGAAAGCTCACTGGGTAGCAATTCGATATAGTATAGCCTATAATATTGTCAATTTCTGTAACCCATAAGAAAGCTTTTCTTAAGTTGGCCTACATGTGATTTTATTTTATTTTGTCATGGATAGTTTGACCTATAAAAATGGAAAGATATTGCTTTTCCTGTACATTTTGCTTCAGCTTATAGAATTGAACCCAACCGGTTTACTTGCGTGTATTTGTTGCATACATGTGTGGAGTGAGGTGTGCATGTGGGTTGAAGCATGTGACGCAAAGTGCTCCAGAGAACCCTTGACGCACATACACGCACTTCAACAAAAACGTGCTTAAAAAAACGCGTGGGAGGCTCAGAGGCTTCTCCCCTCACGCATGCTGTATTCTCTCCCCTGAGGACTTTCCCTCAAACTTAATTTGCATTCATCCTCGCTCTAACGGACCCTCGAAATTATGTGAAATGTTCATATATGATGCAATTCTCTCTTTTTCTGTCTCTTGTCTATATATAGGTGAATTGTGGGTGAAATGCCATCGATTTTGCCAAGGTCTCTAGTTCAGAACGGATGAAGCTCACGCTTTACAGCCAGTAAAAATAGATTAAACCAAAAGGGCAGAAAGTCCGTAGCGCACAGGCATCTGTATTCACAGGGCCGCTGTCTGTGAATGGCTGATGGGGTTTTGCTTACACTAAAACACACCAAGGTTGAACAAGATGGATGTGTTTGATCACAGTGAGTCAGTTGAGAATGTGCGGCCCATTACGTTTTACTTAATTTTTTACCTTAGAAGGCATCTTTTATAATTCACTGCTCAGTTCCTCGGTAATTTCAATCTAACTGATATCCTTTGTGTACATTTGACCCAGATGAATTGTTCTGATCTGAAAGGTTCCTGCTGAAGGTCTTTAATTTACACCGTGTGGATATTTATTTCCATTTAGCTAGTTTTCCGTAGCGCTGTATTAGCTGGGGTGCATAGTGAATTTGTTTCAATTACCATAATTTTTTTTTTTTTTTAAACGCAGTTAAGTGTTATTACTTCATTGCAGTGATGTCTTAAATACAGCCTGTCATCGGAATAAACCGTTTGGAGGAAGTCCATAATTAAACAATCAAGATTTAATTGTTAATTTGGGGATGATAGTGGATACACTCTTCAAAATGAAGACAAAAATGAATTTGGGCACTTTGAACATATTACACACGTTAACGTTTCAACAACATAGTTAATGTGATGAACTACATCCGACAACTTGAGGAGAACTGACTTCATACATTGGCTCCATTCGAAATCGCATACTTCCTTACTATGTAGTAGGCAAAAACAGTATGTGACTAAAGAAATAGCTTATGTCTGAATTCACAGTGCTCGTGTGTGAGTCCCAGTTCGCCTATATTCTATGCCCTAAAAGTATGTGCTCTTTTTGTGAAGGAAAAAGTAGTTTTGTACCATAATAGAGTAGACAAGCTTTGGCACATATTCTCATGTCATAAAATTGCATGGAGAACTCTCCTCATATTTTTGCATAATGATGCAATTAAAAGTTAATGGCCAAACAGATCTTCATAAAAGTTCACTTTGTTGTTCCAGATGAAATATAACATGGATAACATTAAATATTTACATTTACATTTTATTCATTTCATTAGGTTGAAATGTCATTTCAACCTATAAATAAATCATTTTTATGAGGTTCAATGTTGATTATTCACTTAAACCCCTTTATCTTAACCTCTTAACTTAACTGTCGGTCGCGCACATCTGCCTTGTTTGTAGTTTAACACTTTTTATTAGTTTAGTATTTATAGGCTGCTTGTGCGAATGGAAGAAATGTAAAGAACTTAAAATATTGTACAATATAACTCTTTCTAGAAAATATAAATTATTTGCTCAAATAAATTAACACAATATACAATTGAAATTTGAAAAAGAAAAAATGCAGCAAATGAAAAACATTGTAAAGAAACCTAATTAATAAAAAAATATATAACGATTTCTTGCTAATATAAAAATACATTGTTCACAATTTATCTTTGAGAATTCGTTTGAAAAATGTATAAAATAAAATAAACTTTCATAAAAAAAAATAGTTTCTTGGTAATATAAATTAAACCACTGCTAATAATACAAATTTTTCTCAATTGAAAATGGAAAAGAAAATCCTTATTTTTCAGCACAGAAGTGAAACTATTTACTGAAAATTTGCCGAATAAGTTGTATGGAGCAGTAAGTTGCCAAATGTACAGTAATGGGTCTCTAAAGATGAAGAAAAAGAATAGGACACTTATTTGAAAATACATGATCCTTTATTTTTTGAGGTTGTACATAATTAGACATTTATCTATTTTATGCCCATATAAATTGTATAATTCTGTGTAGAACAGCAGAAACATGCTAGCCCTCATGAAGCATTGTTCAAGAACAACAGTTAACAGACTCGATGGATTACATGAAACATTCCTTCTGTTTTGAAATCCATGCGTTGTAGTAAATATGTGGAACGAATGTTCTCGTCACGTTCATTATGCACCACTTTAACTCCAGCTGTCACGTCTACTGACTTCATCTTGCTCATTTTGGGTTCTTTAAGGCATGATCTCGCTGCTTTGCCTTCAGTAGACCTCCAGGATGCTTTACTGGAAACGCTACATTGCCACAACACAGAACTATGTACAAGAAATGCTAATTCAAAACACTCTTAATGTAGCATAATCTTAACCTCGACACCTTATTTTAACCTTAAGTTATCATATGTGCCTATGCTGTGGACTGAGTGAAGTGATGAAATCTGAGCATGATTTCACATAGACTGTCAATACACATGTCCATACACGGGCCAATGCATTGATTCACAAAAGCTTAACATAAGCATAAACATACCGTATCACTTGTACCCAAGGCTGTTTGTTCCTCATCATGGCAGCGCTAAATGACAGGCTGATAGAAATAGTAACTAACGTGGGGCCTATTTTTGTTTCTGATTTTAAACAGGGACTGAACTTTTTATGATGAACTATTTATTCTCAGTCTTCAAAGACGCTTGTGATGCTTAAAATGTAAATTAGAGATTGTTCACCCAAAAATGATGAAAAAATTATGGCTTTCATTCTTATGCGAAACACAAATATTTGAATAAGCTAAATATTATACATGTCTTATATCTTCATTTAGATTTTGTGGTAAAATATGACTCTGGCATGTTATTGAATAGGTTTTATTAGATATGACTTTTATTAGATATGACGGTTATTAGGGAGAAAGTCCCCAAAATATATAGTCTGTGTTCTGCATAAAAAAGGAAGCCATTTGAGAAAATGATGACAAGTTTCATTTTGGGGGTGAAATTTCCCTTGAAGACATTTGCTACAACTTTTGTTCCCAAGACTTTGTGAATCGAATGGATGATTTTAATAAACTTGTAAACTTCAAAAATATACTTGATTTGTATCTGTCAGCTAGCAAATCCTGACATGTATGATAATCTTAAACTTTGTACTCCAAAATGAGAGAAAAATGTTAAGCTATTTTTAGCATTTAGACTATACCAGCTATGCTGTTATGTTCTTAAAGGGATAGTTCACCCAAAAATGAAAATTATTTCATTAATTAACACACTCATGCTGTTTCAAACCCATATGAAATTCTTTCTTGTGTAGAAAAACAACAACAAAAAGAAAGAAAAGCGAAATCTAGCAGAATATCCAAGCTGCTCGTTTCCATACAGTCTTTGGTCCCCATCCACTTAAATTATATTGAAAAGGCAGTTTGGACATTCTGATTCATTTTTATGTTTAACGAATATGGGTTTGGAACTAAATAAGGTAAATGATGGCATAATTTGAACTATCCCCTTGAAAGTACATGTCAAGCATCTCAGATTAGGTGAGCTGTTTGTGTGTTTTAGTCGACGTCATGATACAAGCATCAGAAGCCCGTCCAGCTTTTCTAACTGATGACACAAGCACAGGAGCACAAAATGTGATTAAATTTCCTAAATCTCTCCAACTGTGCAGCCTGCAAAAGCTCTCCCGAGTGTCACTAACTGGAGAATTATTCTCTTCAATAAGTAGCAAATGAGCTGCCTCTCTTAAGTCCAGACGTTTGCTCTCTTTCTATGGAGATTTCTCTTTGAAAGGACTTTGGAGGTAAAGAATAGGATAAGCTTGGATTGCGGGAGGGGAATACATTGCTCATTCTGAAATCATTTCAAACTGCTCGTGTGAAATGTGGATCCTGATTATATGACACTCTGTCATAAGAGTCGACTGCTGGCTTTCATATGTAAGCTGATTTGTATGATTATGGCTGTGTTCAGAAGAGCATACTACTATGTTGATTTTCTGTTCGCATGTGATTCTAATCAAAAGATGTACAGGTCATAATTCACCCCAAAATCATTTGAAATACATATGAGATAAGAAATGATTTTTTCATGACCGTCAAGATTTCCTTCCAGCTCAAAATTCTGATTCTGATCCCAATTACTTCCTGATGTATTACGATAAAATTATTCAATATAGGAATAATTCATTAATAATTAAAGGCAGTATAAAAAAATACTACCATTATGCACACTACCATTCAAAAGTTTAGGTTGGTAAGATTTTTAAAAATATATATTTTTTAATGAAGTCAGTTAAAACTGTACAGACAAAAATAGTTAAACTGTAATATTGTCAAATATTACAAATTAAAATCACTTTTTTATTATTATTTGAATGTATTTTAAAATGTAATATATTCCTGTGATGATAAAATGTAATATCTCCAGTCATCAGTGCTGATTTGCCGCTAAAAAAAACACATTTCTTATATTATCAATGTTGAAAACAGTTGTGCTGCTTAATATTTTTGTAGAAACCAAAATTCTTTGAATAGAAAGTTCAAAAGAACAGCATTTATTTGAAGATGAAATATCTAGTAACATTATAAATGTCTTTTTGTCACTTTTTGATCAATGTAACACATCCTTGCTTACTAAAAGTTTTTTTTTTTTTTTAATCTTCCTAACACTTAATATTGAACGGTAGCATTCAATTTATTTTTTAATTCTTTCATTTTATTCACATTTGGGGGTAAATGTGCTTAATTTGAAAGAAACCCTTTTAAAAATAGGTTAAATATTAAGATATTATACATTTCGTATTTCTTTCTTTAGATTTCGGGGTAAAATACAACCCAGACATGTTCAACACAGTGTAAACACTGCAAGGAATAAAGAATTGATCTTCCATTTCCAGTGTGATGAATGAACCAGCTGTGATTTTTAACATCTCATTCTTCACTATTTGAAACGGACATATTTTCCATAAATTGGAAAGCAAGCAGTAAGTGCAGTAAGCAGTACACTAGAATTCCCCTCTAAACACAGCCCGCATCTGTTCATTGTGGCACTTGTGTCTATGTCGCATGAAATTATCATTATAATCTGAATGAAAGTGCTACCAGTTAATACAGGACACAAAACCTCAGTACATGTCTGAACAGAAAACACGTTGCCGGTCCTCGCTGGTTTAAGCCAGTCCTCACACCCAACCTTCTGTTCTTCTGCATAAGCCGCTCAGACAGAATATTGATATGAGCCATTTTTCACCCAGCAGTCTGCCTGAGCTCTCTTCCCCATGGCCAAGGTTAATTAGCAGTCATTAAAGAAGAAATATATGCTTTCCTCCTCTGGCGGGAATGAAAAAACGAAGGTGCGGATGACTCGTAGACGGCTGTGGAGTGAGAGGACAGTCTGTTAGGCTGTCGCCATGGTGACAGAGATGAGGAGGTAATGGTCACCAATGCGGAATTGTTTAATTGTTCTGAGTTACCTTCAGGTGGCTTTCAACACGCTTGATTAATGGTGCAATCCATCCCAACATTGAGAGCTTCTGAATATGAATGGCGAGCCAACCTGGAGCCTCATGTCCTCAGAGTAATAGAAGTCTTAACTTTTGCTTTTGCATTCTTCTATGCGTTTGAAAAATGAGATGGGTCTATTTCAATACCACTGCTCATTGTGTACCCATATAGGTTGGTTTTAAGCATAACGGGAGGTTTTGTTCTTCAAATCAGATACTAACAGTCTAATTCACGTCCTTGAAAAATGCGTACAGTCTGTAACCTCATTAAAGTCGAACTGTTGCAGTGTCATTGTATTGAACTCCGATCATGTAGAGTCCCAAATGACAAATGGCTGAGAGAATCAATGTTTTCTAGACCTCTGACCTCTATTCCCACTCTTCATTCCTGACACACGAGGACTTATTCAGTTTGCCCGGGAGACTAGCCGATAAGGACGATATAGACCATCAGACAGATCTGGTCTTACGTATAGTTTGCTTAAACTGTCAAAAAGAACATTTCTTTTAATTCTAAATTAGAAGGAATTTAAAATCAACATGAAACGGGAATGTTAAATGTTACCACTGTTGATCTTTTCAACCAAATTACTGAAGAAAATCTTTGTTACAGAGAGTTTTTTTTTTTTTTTTTTTGGATTTTCATCTACTATAGTGAAGAAGTGATAAAATGTGCATTGTGTTAATTAAATGAATAATTTTTAACTGCTGATGAAAATGACACGAAAACTGCTGCAAAATTTTACCAATGGACTAATAATGATTTTGAAGAAAACAAATCTTAGAAAAATCAAACTCAGTAATCAAAACTCAGTTGAACAACCTGAGCTGTGTGAATGAAAGGGGTAAACTGAAAGTTGGTTGGTGAGGCAATCATCTATGGAAGCTTGTTTCCGCCACGGAATAAAAAATAAAGTTGCAATTATCTTTTTATCTCACAATTCTGACTTTTTTTTTTTTTTTTGCAGAATTGTGAGATATTAACTTTCAATTGTGAGTTATAAAGTAAGAATTGCAGGATATAAACTTGCAATTGCGAGTTATAAAGTCAGAGTTGTTGGATATAAACTTGCAATTGCGAGTTATAAAGTCAGAATTTTTTTTTTTTTTTTAAATTTTAAATTACTGTGTACTGCATATTACGTGGAGATATGGTAGTGATGAATTAAGAACTCATTTCCACAAAATAAATTAATTTGTGGTCATGTTTTACTAATTTGTTCCCTTGTCTTCATTTAATTAAACTCTGAACATGATTGAACTAAAAGCGAGGAAACTAATTAATATATTGTGGAAACAATTTTTTAATTCATGGCCAGTACTGTATATCTTTTCCCCTCTCATGTAATGTGCAGTGCTGCATAAAAATTTACATTGAAGGCGAAAAAGATATTGAACCAGGGGAAAAAAAAATAAGGATGAAATTAAATCAATTGAGAACTGAATAGGTTGCAAAAACAATGGCCTTAATTTAAACTTATTTTTTTCTTCCCCGTTTGAATAACAGAGGAATCATTCATGATAAAACACAAGAAAGATGTAGTATGAAAGTAAATGGGGTCAATTTTGATTTCATGTTGACTTTAAGACTGAACTTTTTAAAGGGATGGTAATCCAGAAAAGCCTGTGGGGAAAAAGGCACCCAACTCTATATCTTAGGGGCACATAAAAGCGGTAAATAGCCAAACTCATGCCGAATATGCTAATGAATGTAATATGAAGACCAAAATAGCCATCGCTGTACAGTAATGTGCTCATTAGAGACGACAAGCTGTTGATTTACTTGAGACAAACAAGCGATTAAATAGGTTTTCTATCACTATTATAATATGGAGCTCATCAATCTCTGATGTGCAGTTCGGTCTGAACATTGCGATTGAGCCGCAGGTGGGTGAATCTGATCTGGTCCATCATCTTCTTATGGATGTTTTCCTGAATGCCCTGAGAGCAAGAGTGCTGAGAAAAAAGATCCTACCGCACCAATTACACCACATCAAATTAGACGGTGCGTGATTGGCTGCTGGAGGGCGGATAATGGAGTAAAGAAAACAAAACAAATCTAGGTGTGAAAAGAAAGAACCAAATACAAGAGATAGTGACAAGTATGGAGAGATAGTGAAGTGAAATATCATAATGTCACCCCTGTCAGAGACCTGATCCTGGTTCAGAGCTGATAATGACGGTGAGATCGTGAAAAAGAAGGAAGAGCATTTTTCAAACGCAGCTTCCTGGTTTATTTAAGGTTTATACGGGGTGGCAGGTTTCTCCTTATCTCTGCGAGCCTACACAGGAGCCAAAGACACTCCTGGTGGCACGACGTCTCTGGTCTTCCAGCTCACAGCAGGGTTTGAGTCCTTCAGCTGAGGCAGCTGTAGATCGAAACTCAACAACTCACTTCAAACGGCTGAAACTTCCAGCATTGCAGTTCTGGAACCATCCTGTCCATTTCATCCTCAAGTTTGTCTCAATGTCCCAAACAGACAAGCACCAAAGAGTTCATGTTGGTCGATGGGAATACTTAAAGGTTGTTTGATTGAGGATGAGAGGTGGGCTTCACAACTTTGTGATTTGATGGCTTACTTGTTTTGTCTCGGAGCACTTTTGGGAAGACGAAACAAAATGAGAGTTAAAAGACCAAAAGATTTGCATTTCCTCAAGGAATTACTACTAGTGCTTGCAAGGCAGCAAAAGAACAATGTTCAAGCTTTAGGCTAGCTTATTCTCTTATTGTCAGTCGGCTACACACAGGAATCAATACACACACTCTGTTCCAAAATCTAGTAAACTGCATTTTAAGGCACCATACACTCAAAAATAAATGTTCCAAAAGGTGATTTTCGCAGTGATGGCATTTCCAGTGAACAGTTCTTAAAAGAACCAATTTTGTCGGTTTGTGAAGAACATTTTTAGTATCTAAAGAACCTTTTCCCACTACTACTTGTGGAAATGAAAGGTTTAATGGATGTTAAAGGTTCTTCATGGAACAATCGATGTTGGTCTATTACTCAGTAATGCAAATACAGTTCTAAAATCTGGTGGTGGTTGAGGAGATTCCCCCTACTATGTATAGCGCTTTGAGTGCCGAGAAAAGCGCTATATAAATGTAATGAATTATTATTATTATTATTATTATTAAAAGGTATAGGCAGCATAATTATATTAGCATTGCATGTATCCTTTGTAAAGAAGGCAATCCCAGAATGCTTTGTGACTGATGACCAATCCTACAAATACAAGATGCTAGACAAAGTGAGAGTAATGTCAATTATAAAAAAAAAAAAATTCTTAAAAGATAGCTACAAATATTTTAATGATTAAAAATGAACTATTTAATCCGTCATTTTGTGTTATGTATATTTATTCTTACTAGATTATAATGCCATTAGCTTAGCAACATGCTAACGTCAAATTCTACTGCGTGATGCCACTTCGCCTACTTATACTTCGCCCTAGAAGTATGTACATGTAACGGACGTAGGCCAGTAAGAGCTGTGGTGTAAACCTCATTTCCCTGGCCTCAAGGGGTCTCCCGCCTCCCACATCTGCCATGTTTGTAGTTTTTATATTCGGGTTTGTAGTTCTGAACCAAATCCTCCTCCAAATCACAATGGGTTGTGGGCAATATTAGCCGTTAGAGTGCACAGATCCACACTTCGAAAATCTACCAGAAATTGTAGACCATCTGGAAAATATTGCCACACTCTTTTCAACATACCATGCTTTAGGACACACTTATTTTAGTCTCACATACTATTTAGGATGGATAGTATGCACATTGTGACAGGGATAGTCAAGTCTCTTGTGTGCGTCACATGAGGAGAAGTCACTTATTAGGTTGCATTTCAGTTAGCATGCTGCCATTAAATGTATAGGCAGCGAGAAAAGCTAACTAGCTTTTGGAACAGAGCCACTTTGCTAAAATAATTAAATGCTGTATATGCCAGTAAGACGAAATCATACAAAAATTGCAATTCATTATGCTAATAGATGTGAGGAAGTTGACCACTTGCAGGTAGGTATGCAAATATTGATGACATCATTGCTGTTGGTAACATGCTCACCAAAGATGCATTTTTTATTTTATTTTTTTATCATGTAAAGTAAAAATGGTTTACGGTAAAAACAGTCATATTTGAAATATTATAACATTTTAAAATAAATGTTTTCTTTATGATTATATTTTAAAATGTAATTAATTCCTGTGTTTTTCAGCATCATTACCTCCAGTTTTCAGTGTCACATGACCCTTCAGAAATCATTCAAACATTTCCTATTATTATCAGTTTTTGTGGAAACCATAATACATTTGTTCCAGGATTATTTTATGAATAACAGTTCAGCATTTATTTAAAACAGAAATCGTTTGTAACATTATAAATGTCTTACTAAAAAACTCTTACTAACCCCAAACTTTTAAATGGTAGTGTACATTGTGGAGTATATTATTTAGAAAAAAAGTATTTAAAAAAAAAAAAGGATGGCACACATGAGACTGAATGTACAGTAACCGGTGTTTGGTTTAGCGGATTAGAACAAACCTGAACTAGATTGAGAAATGTCAATACAGCGCTGCCTTGCAAGTACTTTACATTTTCCCATGTTTTTAACCATGGGAACCATACATGGTTTGTATAATACCTATCTTAAATACTACGAAACAACAAAAGGCGATAATGCGATATGTTACACTTTCGATTAAGTCAAGCACACAATCAACCAACATACCTGTCCTGAGGCTAAAGCCTATTATTGCCGACAGGGGAAGGCTGAATTAGACCTTGCTGCGCAGTAGTCCCCCCGTAGGGTGCTCTGGGGTACTGCACTCGGAAGAGTTCTTGGCTTTGTCCTTGTTATTGTTGGGCTCGTTGTCTTTGATGATGTCATACTGGCGGCAGAACAGAGCTATCACACCTGTGCACAAATAAAAGAGGATTTGGAGAGTTGAGGACAGTTTGGAAGAGTGGAGGTGATGGATGAGACATTGTCGAAAGAAGGAAAGGAAAAAAATGAAATGATGGATTGCAGCATGATTCTGCCCAAAATAATAACATACAAATTATAGCTGGACTAGAACAGGATGATGAGCTGCACTGCGGCCTTGGGTTAAGTTGTGCTAGTACTGTCCTGTCTGATGATTCATTCCCTCATCTTCTAAAAGACTTGACGAGGATTATAAAAAGATAAGGAAAAAGCCTCTTTAAGACCCAATCATAACTTTAGATACGCTCTTGTCTTTTCTCCACTCTAGCATGGACCACATTTATGACCACAGACTAGAGATCTTAAACATTTAATGACAATTTGATCAAAACCCATTGCAAATGTAGACGCAAGAGTTAGAAATGTAATTAACTAAATTTAAATGTATGAATTAACTACTGTATACATACACACACTCACGCACACAATATTCAAAAGTTATTCAACTTTATTCTAAAAAAATTATAGTGACAAACTTGTCTTCATATCTGAATGTTTATGAACTACTGATACGTTAAGCATTATGTAATCTTAATGACTTTAACATTAATGACTTCTTCATAAAAGTAATTATAATTGTTACTGTGACTTAAATCAAATGGGAGTCACAAAAACATTCCTCACTTTGAGCAAAAATCATAGCAGCGAGAACTTAAAAAAAACCTTAAAAAACATACAGTAAAAATATATTTTCTGATGTGGAAATGGTAATATTTATAGCTTTTATCATTTTTAATAATATAATTAATAATTTCAGAATATTTGTTAGAATAATATTTGAATATCTTAAAAATATCTAATTATATATAATAAAGCTTTCTAAAAGTATGGAATATATACAGTGATGCTTGAAAATGTGTGAACCCCTTCCAGAATATTGTGAATAATTTTAACAAAATAAGATGGATCATACAAAATGCATGTTTTTTTTTTATTTAGTTCTGTCTCCTGAATAAGATAATTTACATAAAATATGTTTAAATATAAGTCTACAAGAAATAGCTGAATTTATAAAAATGAGTTTATATACTGTGTCATTATCTGGATGATCCACAACTGTTTTTTTTGTTTTTGTGATGGATGTTCTTCAGTCTCTTGTTTGTCCTGAGCAGTTAAACTGCCCAATGTTCTTCCGAAAAATCATTTTGGTCCTGCAAATTCTCCAGTTGTCTGGCATCTTTTGCATATTTGAACCCTTTCCAGCAGTGACTGTATGATTTTGAGATTCATCTTTTCGCACTGAGGGACTCAAACACAACTATAAAAAAAGGTTCAAACATTCACTGATGCTCCAGAAGGAAACACGATGCATTAAGTGTCGGGGGGTGAAAACTTTTTGAATTTGAAGACCAAGGTAAATTGTACTTAATATGCCTTCCAGGAAACATTCAAGTATCTTCTGTTGCTTCCGAAGGGCCGAACAAAATAAAATAAAAAGATATTTAAACAAAATAAGAAAAATTAAGACATCTTATCCTGTTTTTATAAAAAAAAAAAAAAGTTTATAAATTCAGCTATTTTTTGTCTTGTGGACTATATGTAAACATTTTTTATGTAAAATGTTGTATTCAGGACAGTACTAAATAAAAAATAGCCTGCATTTTGTATGATCCCTCTTATTTTGTTAAAATTATTCACATTTTCACAGATTCTGCAAGTTCACAAACTTTTAAGTATCACTATAGAGAGAGAGAGAGAGAGACTAGAGTCTCTCTCTCTATGAGAAATTCACATGGGCTATTTCCACATTTGAAATATATATATATTGCTGTGTGAATGTAGCCAATGTGAATTTGTCTAGTCAACATTTGATCATTGGTCAAACTGTTTGATCATTGGTCACATTCTGACCTGCCCACATGACGAGAACCACCACAATGATAATGAGCTCTCCAGCCCTGAGCTGGGCGGCCTGGCCAACCTCCTCCATGGTCACTTCATCTGTGTGGATTCAAACAAACACAGTTCATTCACTCATATAGTCAGAAAACAAGCACACTTCTGCAGTTATCAAAGCACAGGCACTGTGACAACACGCAAAACCACAGTAGAATTATTTAAGGAATTAAAACCATTTTCGAGGGTTCTTTAATTAGCCTCAAGAGGATATGAAGCGGAGCCTAAAGCAAACCATATTCTCTGCCTCAGATATATTTATTATTTATGTTTCATGTCAAAAAAACACAATTCAATTCATAAAAACCAAGTCGAAGCGGATGTCTGTGAGGATCACTTCAGGGTTGAGCTCTCCTCTCACTGGGAGAAGACCTCAGGGGTCACTTTCTTAGCTGAAGATTTAAAGTGTCTTCTAATTAAAGCCTTGTTATGTAAAAGAAACTGGTCTGTGTTCACTGATTAACCGCAGAGGGAAAAGCCAAGTTCTTCAACGTCCTGCTTATCTGAAGGAGCAGAAGAGTTGTGCTTCATAATGACTGCAGGGAGAAGTTACACTCGTCTCTTTGTGCGCCTCTACTTTCTTTGAGGAAAAACTCGATACCCTTTAGGTGAAACTGAAATGTTATTGGATGTCTCAGGCGTTTGAGTGCAGGGGAAAGGTTGAGGCATTTTTCAGCTCACCATCAACATCAATACATGTCGTGAGTCCAGTAAAAAAAACAAAAAAACACGAAGCCACCCTGAAGCGATGGAGAGGGGAGGCCAGCGGAGAGGAAGATTTAACTGCCTGTGTTTATTAGCTCTGGTATTTAGTGAAGTGTGATGGTGATCACTTAATTAGAGTGTAACATGAGCACTAATGCCTGATGATTAAACTGTTTTTTGCAAATGCTCTTGCTATCTAACTGACACATGCGTCAGCTAAAAATTAGCCATCTGTAAACTACTCTCTGCTGCGCCTAAGCACATTTCTACGCCTGATCCATCACAAATGGCATTAGTGCAGAGTTAACAGATTTAAGATGGATCCTGAAAAAGGGAACTTTATACCTTAATGAATATGACACTAGTGTCCTTTAAATACAACAATAGATTAATCTACAGGCCAGTTTGTAATTTTTATTTTTACAGTGAGTCCCAAAAGTCAGAGATCACTTGTGAAAAATATTATCAAAAGAATTTTTTATATAAATAAAATATTATTATACAACTTTATAAAATAATTAAGGCTGGGCAACGATTAATCGCGATTAATCGCATCCAAAATAAAAGTTTGTGTTTACATAATACATGTGTGTGTAGTGTGTATAATTATTTTGTATATATAAATACACACACATGCATGTATATATTTAAGAAAAATGTGTTATTAATATATCAAATATTTATATGTATATATAATATTAATTATATAAATATATATAAAGTGTATACATGCAAATATTTCTTAAATATATACATGCATGTGTGTGTATTTATATATACAAAATAAGTATACACACTACACACACATGTATTATGTAAACACAAACTTTTATTTTGGATGCGATTAATCGCGATTAATCGTTGCCCAGCCCTAAAAATAATATATTATTAGCATAACAATTATATTTTTTAATAGATTTTATAATTTTGTTTAGAATGTTGCTAAAATAAAATGGAAGGAAGACCATCTGACCTAGAAATAGTTCAGAATATAAAATATTTCGGTAACACGGTAAGGTTTCATTTGTTAACATTAACATGAACTAACTATGAGCACATTGTGTAACTGTATTTTTTCATCTTTGTTAACATTAGTTAATAAAAAATACAGCTGTTCATATTTTCTTCATGTTACTTCACAGTGCATTAACTAATTAACAAATACAACTTTTATTTTGTTTTACCAATGTACTAATGAACTAATGTAGTTAAATAATGTTAACTAATAAAACCTTATTGTAAAGTGTTATCAATTTTTTGTTTTAAATTGGTTAAAATACTAAAATGTTATTCATTTCTAATTAAATTTTCAATTATTCAGGTTTAAATTAGTTTTTTTTTACCCCACTGTATTTTATACTGTATAATGCTTAACAGTATTTTAATATTGTACTATTTTGAGTGGCATAAACCTATGAAATGTTGTCAATATCAATAGTTGTCTAAATCAATATTTGGAGAGCAGGGCACATATACAAAATATTATTATTTTATTATTTTATTGTTTTTTGTTATACTCTACTGTTCAAAAGTTTGGGGTCAGTGTGATTTTTTTCATTTTTTTATTTTTTAGAAGAAGAAGAAGAAGAATTTAATGCTTGTATTCTGCAAGGATAAGAAGTAAAGAAAATAAAGACATTTATAATGTTACAAAAGATTCCTATTTCAAATAAATGCTGCTCTTTTGAACGCTCTAAACATCAAAGAATCCTGAAAAAAAAATTATCACGTTCTTCACGCAACACGTATAATAATGAGAAATGTTTCTTGAGGAGAAAATCAGCATATTAGAAGGATTTCTGAAGGATCATGTGACACTGAAGACTGAAAAAATGATGATAAATTACATTTTAAAAACACATTAAAATGGACAACAGTCATTTTAAATTGTAAAAATATTTCACAATATTACTGTTTTTACTGTATTTTGCCTTATTGAGAATGAGACTTCTTTCAAAACATAAAAAAAATCTTACTGACCCCAACATTTGAACAGTAGTGTACATATAATGATAGCAAATAAGATAAATGTATCACTTATTTTTCACACTTCTTTATGAGAACCATTCTTTGAAACTAAATCATAGTTGCTTTTTTCCCCAAAAAACATAGATGTGTAAGATGAAGAGGTATCATTTGACATTTTACTAATGTCTGAGGTTATAACTCAGTGCAAACTCCTGCCCTGACTCTAACCTGCACAACTGATGGTTTGACACTAAATGTCATCAACACAGTCCAGTGCCAAGGACTGACACTCACCCATAAAATAGCAAGTGTTTCAGGAACACAATCCTCCCCGGCAGATGTTTGTCCAAGTAAGTAGGTCATCGAAATGGATTACACAACATGAAAATTGGCTGTATTGTGTGTTGCTCTAGATAAGACAAGCTCCTTAACAGAAAATGCATTGGTAAAACGCACAAAAGTGAGCACTTCATGCCCTGAATTATGACACCACACCATTTTTAGAGCGGTTGTATAACCACCTCCCTGCTGTGGCTTTTTTCCATCTACGGAAATGATTTGACCGTTTAGTCATCTTTCAAACGAATCTATTTTTTCAACTGTACAAAGATATCAGTATTGTATCTCTGTATATAATAATTTATATAAGCTAAATTAAGCTAAAGATTCTGTCATCATGTTGTTCTGAATATGTGCTGCTTTCTTTCTTTCTTTCTTGAAACATTAAGGAGACATTTTTTTTTAATATGCTAGTCAGTTTTTAATACAATTGCAATAAATGGATAGTAGAGATTTCAAGCCAGAGAAATCACCAGAGAAATGTTAAAAATGTGGTTCATACATTCGTAAAGTTTGAATCATTCAGACCAGTTTTGTGAACTGGATCAATCTATTTACTGAAAGATCTTACCTAAAAGGAATGATCTGTTCGTGAATCAGACTTTGCAATTTCTCCTCTCAACACACCACAAAGAACTACAGCTGACGTCAAAATATTCAGTCAAAAATGCAGTGAATTTCATCTCTATTCCAGTTTTTTCTCTAGTATTCTCAGTACCTGTACTCCTCTGAACAATTTTAAACTTTGTATTTCAGCATTTCACATGTTACTGCCTCCTTTGTGTGAATCGCTTAGACTTGGAATATGGTGCATGAGGAATATAACTACTTTTAAGGATATTTTGGAGCTGTACATTATTCACTTGTATTATATTCACAAGCATATTGTTCCAAAAAGAAAAACGAAACACTTTTGTTTTTCCACAGAAGAAAGTAGTCGTACATATTTGGAACGACATGAGGGTGAGTAAATTATGACATAATTAATGGTCCTGCAAGAAATTACATTGTGAATATGCAAAATAAATTCGCAGTTGCAAGATGTTAACTCTTTACGATGCTTTTACTTTAAGTGCTTTAGTACTTTAAGATGCAATTTCCAAAATAATCCTCTGAAGTGCTTCAAAAAATATTATGGTACTAATATGGTATTATGGATTATTTTGTCCAAAAATATTATTTTGGTAGTTACCTGGGCTTTTTGAGGCCAGTTTCTCTGACTCTTTGGGAGTGCGGAAGAGAACAGGTTCACTCGGGGGGCTGGTGCCGCTCATGCTAATGGACTGCACATGCACAATGTACTCTGTGTCTTCCTCCAAGTCCCACAATGCACATGAACGAGTGGTGGTGTTCACTTCCTGGATGAATCGCAGCATACGAACGTCCTTCTTCTATAAAAATCAAAATTAGAAAGAAATAATCATATTGAGAGGCTTATGCTAATAATCCAAGGATAAATGTGGTTGATGCCACACACATCTAAGTCAACATGAAATCAAAATTCATCCTATTAACTTTTTCAAATGCATGTTCCTGGTCTAATTGTGAATAATTCATCAGTGTATGTTATTCCAGAGATAAAAACAATTCATTGTAATATATAATCAGTATGTAATATTTTGCTCTGTGTCTACAACAACTTTCCTCTTTGGTTGACGTCACCAAGTCCTCTTATTTTCACCACTCCGTCCAGGTGTCATGGGGAGAGTGGCTTTAACAAAGCGCACGACGATGGAGAGTTCACAATAGTCCTTTTATTAAACAAAATCCAAGAGAAACACGCAGGAGAATAACTAGGAAATAACTTAAAACCACAACGCAACACATAAACGCAAACGAGACTGAACACTGAACAGAAAGAACCCAGGGCTTAAATACATGGGGAGAGGTAATCAGCAAAACAGAACGCAGGCAAACGGGAACAGGGAAAATAACAACAAAACACAAGAAACTTAAAGGGATACTCCACCGTTTTTTCATATTAAACTATGTTATTCCCTTAACTAAGACGAGTTGATACATACCTCTCTCGTCTCAGTGCGTGCACTAAATCGCTCTGTCTTGATAGCAACTTTGATAGCACTTAGCTTAGCCCAGTTCATTCATTAGGATCCAACCAGAGAAGCGACCAAACACCTCTACGTTTTCCCTATTTAAATACAGTTACACGAGTAGTATAACTCGACCAAGAATGGTGACACAAAATAAAACGTTGCGCTTTTCTAAGCGTGTAAAGTGGATAACTATAATGTATGGCGGAATACCACAGCAAGTGCTTGGGAGCACTTCGACTCGGCGCATTAATATCATCTCTCATGAAAAATCCTCTCCCCCTCTCCCTCTCCAGAGTGATGATATTACTGCGCCGAGTCGAAGTGCTCCCAAGCGCTTGCTGTGGTATTCCGCCATAGATTATAGTAATCCACTTTACACGCTTAGAAAAGCGTAACGTTTTATTTTGTGTCACCATTCTTGGTCGAGTTACACTACTCGTGTAACTGTATTTAAATAGGGAAAACGTAGAGGTGTTTGGTCGCTTCTCTGTTTGGATCCTAATGAATGAACTGGGCTAAGTTAAGTGCTATCAAAGTGTCTCGCGCACCAGAGCGATTGAGTGCACGCACTGAGACGAGAGAGGTATGTATCAACTCGTCTTAGTTAAGGGAATAACATACACTCACCGGCCACTTTATTAGGTACACCTGTCCAACTGCTCGTTAACACTTAATTTCTAAGCAGCCAATCACATGGCGGCAACTCAGTGCATTTAGGCATGTAGACATGGTCAAGACAATCTCCTGCAGTTCAAACCGAGCATCAGTATGGGGAAGAAAGGTGATTTGAGTGACTTTGAACGTGGCATGATTGTTGGTGCCAGAAGGGCTGGTCTGAGTATTTCAGAAACTGCTAATCTACTGGGATTTTCACGCTCAACCATCTCTAGGGTTTACAGAGAATGGTCCGAAAAAGAAAAAACATCCAGTGAGCGGCAGTTCTGTGGGCGGAAATGCCTTGTTGATGCCAGAGGTCAGAGGAGAATGGCCAGACTGGTTCGAGCTGATAGAAGGGCAACAGTGACTGAAATAACCACTCGTTACAACCGAGGTATGCAGCAAAGCATTTGTGAAGCCACAACACGCACAACCTTGAGGCGGATGGGCTACAACAGCAGAAGACTCCACCGGGTACCACTCATCTCCACTACAAATAGGAAAAAGAGGCTACAATTTGCAAGAGCTCACCAAAATTGAACAGTTGAAGACTGGAAAAATGTTGCCTGGTCTGATGAGTCTCGATTTCTGTTGAGACATTCAGATGTTAGAGTCAGAATTTGGCGTAAACAGAATGAGAACATGGAACCATCATGCCTTGTTACCACTGTGCAGGCTGGTGGTGGTGGTGTAATGGTGTGGGGGATGTTTTCCTGGCACACTTTAGGCCCCTTAGTGCCAATTGGGCATCGTTTAAATGCCACGGCCTACCTGAGCATTGTTTCTGACCATGTCCATCCCTTTATGGCCACCATGTACCCATCCTCTGATGGCTACTTCCACCATGTCACAAAGCTCTAATCATTTCAAATTGGTTTCTTGAACATGACAATGAGTTCACTGTACTAAAATGGCCTCCACAGTCACCAGATCTCAACCCAATAGAGCATCTTTGGGATGTGGTGGAACGGGAGATTCGCATCATGGATGTGCAGCCGACAAATATGCGGCAACTGTGTGATGCCATCATGTCAATATGGACCAAACTCCCTGAGGAATGCTTCCAGCACCTTGTTGAATCTATGCCACGAAGAATTGAGGCAGTTCTGAAGGCAAAAGGGGGTCCAACCCGTTACTAGCATGGGGTACCTAATAAAGTGGCCGGTGAGTGTAGTTTAATATGAAAAAAACGGTGGAGTATCCCTTTAACATAACCCTGACATTAAGGCGCAAAGGCGCATACTCGCGACGTAACTATAATTAATAGTCCAACTCAGGTGCGAGAGACCAAGGCGGTGATGACGGTGGGAGGAGCCAGGAGCAGGAGGAGCCTGGCGGGGACCCAGACCACAGCCAGTACGAAGGCCCATGGCGTCGACAGAGGGAGGGGTCATGGAGGAAACTTAGCAGGTTTAACCAGGGTGATGACAAGCGGAGACGGAGTCAATGGAGGTGAAGAACCAGGTGGAACCAAAGAGCCGATGGGACAAAGTAACACCGATGGCTCTGAAGACCTAGGTGGAGCCACAGCGACGAGCTTCCGAGGTGGAGCCAGGGTGCCAGTGGACTGAGGTGGAGTCGGTAAGACTGAGGACCAAGGGAAAGCGGAGCCGTAGGGGTGGAGGGACAAAGTGCAGCTGAAGGCCCGGAAGTCCGTGGCGCAGGCAGAGTGACGACTTACCAAGGTGGAGCCTGAGGGACAAGGGAGCCCGGTGGAGCAGCAAGGATGACGGTCCTAGGTGGAGCCGAGAGAGAGAGAAGCCAAGGCGGAGCCAACTGGTCGACGAGCCGAGGTGGAGTGATGGGCTCTGTGGCTGAAGGCGGAGCCAGGGAATTCTCTTGGCTAGGTGGAGCTGGTGACCGGAAGATCTGGTGACGTCCTCCTCTCCTGCACCCACTCCACAAACGTGGCGAAATCCTCTCGAGGAAAACCAACACCAGGTAGGCATGCCTTACTCCGCACATTTAAGCTTGCTCGAAAAAATACACACAGGGAGCAGTCGGGGAAATTGGAAAGGCACGGCAGGTCTAGAAAGTCATTGGCATGGTCCTCGAGATTGTTATTACTTTGCTCTGAGCAGAGAAGGCAAACGGTCTTCTGTCACGGGGTGTGTGCCCGTATAAGCGCACACTGATTTAGAGTTCACATTAGTCCTTTTATTCAACAAAATCCAAGATAAACATGCAGGAAAATAACTAGGAAATAACTTACAACCACAACACATAAATGCAAACGAGACCAAACACTGAACAGAAAGAACTCAGAGCTTAAATACATGGGGAGAGGTAATCAGCAAAACAGAAATAGGTGTGTGTAACTAATTAACAAACAAGGAAACTAACTAGGAAAACAGAACACAGGCAAACAAGAACAGGAAGAATAATTTAAACAAAACACAAGAAATTAAATATAACCCTGACACCAAGCTATCTTTCTTTCTTTTTTGGAAGATAAAATGGGTAATTGTAGCCATGTAACATTCGATTTGAAAGCCATTATTTTTAACATTTAATGGAAAAAAAATCGGGTTTTGCTTAGTTTAATTTATTCCAGAGCATAATCACTTTTTTGTTCTATGCATTTAATAACTTCAAATTAAATAAATAAATGAGTAGCAAACCTCACCCCAAATACAATCTCATGAATCTCCAGATAAAGTTTATCTTTCATTCCTCTGTCCGCTCTGTTTGTGCATGTATCTTTCACCGTTTCACTCAGAAAATGAGAGAAAGGAAAAATAGTTCCTATCCAATATATTTCCACTTCAAAGCTTATAAAGCATTCATTTTTCATGCAAAATAAATGGCAAAAACAGTTAAAAATTAACACCTGACTGAAAAATATATGTGATTATCTCTCCTTTTGATACAGCATCAATATCAAAACTGAATAGTACTTTAAGACTGATCCATCTGTTTCACTCGTGTATCTTAGTAAAAAAAGATATCAAATGCTGTTTAATGTTTACTTTAATAATGTTTTATTCACTAATGACCCACATAGATGATGTCATTGTCAGAACAGATTTATAGTGTGCACTAATAAACAGTGATATCACCGCAATACTTAGTGAAATCATCCCATAGTTGTGATAAGTGGCATGAGAAATGCATGAGGAGATAAAATTAACACACACACACACACACACACACACTGCAGAAACTCTGTCTTGCTCATTGGTGACAAGCTGTAATGGCTTTGTACTCCAGCAGATGGTCACTGCAGTCCTTATTACTGAGGTCTCCACAGTGACTGCTTTCCTTAAATCTGCACACACACACACACACACACACACACACACTAATGCATGCATGCATAAAACATTTACAGAAAGCTCAAGGCCATCTAAAATATCAACAGCATGTGCCCTTGAAGAGAAAGCAGACCAGTCTACATTGACACATAACCAACATGCTTACACAAGCATGCCTCCATGATATTGCCTCATTAAACTTGAGTTATGAGGTGATTTCCCCCTGTTTTGCACATGTAAGGATTTGAAATGGACCATAAACTGGTTCAGTACCTGCTGGGTGATGGCAAACCCAATGACTGGGTCTCCCTCCAGAATCTCCCATGTCACTATCGCTGAGTTCCCCTCCAATGCTTTGATGGTCACATTGAGCGGAGCAGATAAACTGTCTGAGGAGACACAAAAAAAGACATAAATGGATAAAAGGTACTGATGTGACACACTGCAAGACCTCTCTCATTTTATAGTCCCTTATTTATGCACAAGAATATTAAGACTGCAGAAAATGCGAGTGTTTGCCAAACTACGCTATGTGCTAGTGTAATGTTGTGTGTACTTTGCAACAGCAAAGATCCTTCTTGCTCATTTTTCCTAATGAAACTTAAAAGGATGTAAAAAAAAAAAAAAAAAAAGATTGTCGAAAAGATAATGATTATTTTGTTTTGTATATACACTCACCGGCCACTTTATTAGGTACACCTGTCCAACTGCTCGTTAACACTTAATTTCTAAGCAGCCAATCACATGGCGGCAACTCAGTGCATTTAGGCATGTAGACATGGTCAAGACAATCTCCTGCAGTTCAAACCGAGCATCAGTATGGGGAAGAAAGTTGATTTGAGTGACTTTGAACGTGGCATGATTGTTGGTGCCAGAAGGGCTGGTCTGAGTATTTCAGAAACTGCTAATCTACTGGGATTTTCACGCACAACCATCTCTAGGGTTTACAGAGAATGGTCCGAAAAAGAAAAAACATCCAGTAAGCGGCAGTTCTGTGGGCGGAAATGCCTTGTTGATGCCAGAGGTCAGAGGAGAATGGCCAGACTGGTTCGAGCTGATAGAAGGGCAACAGTGACTGAAATAACCACTCGTTACAACCGAGGTATGCAGCAAAGCATTTGTGAAGCCACAACACGCACAACCTTGAGGCGGATGGGCTACAACAGCAGAAGACTCCACCGGGTACCACTCATCTCCACTACAAATAGGAAAAAGAGGCTACAATTTGCAAGAGCTCACCAAAATTGAACAGTTGAAGACTGGAAAAATGTTGCCTGGTCTGATGAGTCTCGATTTCTGTTGAGACATTCAGATGTTAGAGTCAGAATTTGGTGTAAACAGAATGAGAACATGGAACCATCATGCCTTGTTACCACTGTGCAGGCTGGTGGTGGTGGTGTAATGGTGTGGGGGATGTTTTCCTGGCACACTTTAGGCCCCTTAGTGCCAATTGGGCATCGTTTAAATGCCACGGCCTACCTGAGCATTGTTTCTGACCATGTCCATCCCTTTATGGCCACCATGTACCCATCTTCTGATGGCTACTTCCACCATGTCACAAAGCTCTAATCATTTCAAATTGGTTTCTTGAACATGACAATGAGTTCACTGTACTAAAATGGCCTCCACAGTCACCAGATCTCAACCCAATAGAGCATCTTTGGGATGTGGTGGAACGGGAGATTCGCATCATGGATGTGCAGCCGACAAATATGCGGCAACTGTGTGATGCCATCATGTCAATATGGACCAAACTCCCTGAGGAATGCTTCCAGCACCTTGTTGAATCTATGCCACGAAGAATTGAGGCAGTTCTGAAGGCAAAAGGGGGTCCAACCCGTTACTAGCATGGGGTACCTAATAAAGTGGCCGGTGAGTGTATATATACTGTATATATATATATATATATATATACAGTATATATATCATTTACTGCATGGCACAAACTGACTGACCTCTGCTGGTTCTGCAGCCAATGAGATTGCTTGCTCAACATTTAAATATTCTGGCTCAATGTTTTCAGTAAGCTGGTCCTGCAGCATGCCATCAGAGTCTACCTCCCCAGCTCCACCTGCCTAGATCTGATACAGGATTTTTGTATGTCAATTCATACAACGGTAGCGCAAGTTACATGCTCACAGCAGCGTGTCCATACTTGCTCTGTAGCAACAGCAGCAGTGTGCGTTGCAGATCTAGTCTGCCATGCATAGTTATGCAGAAATTGCTAGCTTATGTTTTGTACACATACTTTAACGAAACAACAACTCTTATGCAATATTACCCTTACAACTTATTTACAGTTCATATGACGTCACAGAAAATGCATGTCTGCAGCAAGACCATCTTGGTTGTCTTTGGCGGTTATGATGTGAGTATGAAATTATTTACCAAACAAATGATTCATTCTGTCTCGGTTAACGTCTTTGTTATGTCATTCTCTAGCTATTTTGTCTAATACTGAAATGAAAAGTGCGGTTTGGCTAATGGAAATGCACTGATGCTCAGCTCCATGTTTGCTCTAGATCAATATTTCCACTGCTCTTAACTTTTATTTACTGTGTGGTAGCTCTTAGATTGCTATCTGAACCAGCATCTTTGTCTTTGATGGTCATCAAACAAAGAAAATGGCCTGGCACAGCGTAGAGCACACAAAGCCATGCAGCCGCTGTTTGGCCATTGGGCATTTTGTTCATGAATTAAATGGAAATGTATTGCAGCGAAGATGTCAGAAGTTGTGTTGTGTGTCATCACTTGTCAGAATGATAATATGGCGTTGCTTAAATCGGTGCATAAAGATCTAATCATCAGTAATGTTTGTTGACTACAGAGTGAAATGGTTGTCTGGTTAACGTCATCCATCACAGTGTAACAAATTCACACCCTGCACATGGGAAATTGTGTATTTAAAGGGGATGACAGACAGAGAAAGCCAGTCATCCCTGAGGACACAATATGTTTCCCACTGGGCAGGATGTGTTTGGAACAGTCGTATATTACACTTTAAATAGGGGAGGAATGCAACATGCATTAAGAAACATAACTTGGCTGTGGGGTGCTCATTCGCATCCCAGAATTCATGGTTCAAGAAATCTTGTTGTGCAAAAGGTTAGTTCACTTCAAAATTTCAATTTATACATGAAAATATACAAATACAAGATCATTCAAAATATTAATAAATAATATAATATAATATAAATAATACTAAAATATCACTGGTCTTTTGAAGTCAGAAAATAGTGTAAGGAACTGGCCAATATTTAAATCACTTACAGTGACGTTAAGTTTGAATATGCTGAAGTTTGACAATTTTCAGTGAATAACAACTTCTCTTTCTCACATAAAACTATCATATGACTTCAGAAGACTCTAATATAGTGTATAAAGTCGTATGAACCACTTTTATTTACTTTATTGGGGTCTTATTTTAAGCTCCCGGTGACTCCTTTTGGTTTCCATGGAAGAAAGGCATTAGGGTTTGGAATGACATGAGGGTTAAGTTTCATATTTGGGCAACTATTCCTTTAAACATGTTTCAATGTTTCCAGTTAGAAATTCTGAGAAAATATAATCAAGCCTTTTGTAGGTTGACCGTGAGAGTATTTATGAATTTTTTTTTTTTTTAAATGGCAAAAATCATTATTATTCTATTCAGCATCACTCAAGTTACACACTTCACCTTTAATGAATGGATGCGTTTTATAATGTGCCTTTTATTTGGATGTTTTCCAAAAGTCTTCAACACCAGCGTTTCACCTAATTAAGCCTTTTACTTAAATTACCTTCTTAAAAATGAAGGTCAAGCTGCCTTAAATATATTTGTTACCACTACTGAAGAGTTGAGGTGCCATACATGTTAACACATACTTAATTAATGTTACCTCAGGACAGGCAGAAGACGTTCATTCAGTCTTTCTGGATCCCATCGGTAGGTAATGGGCTTCATGTGAATGCTCTATAGGTCCTTGGCTTGCAGCCAGACACCAAACCTAAAGTGTATTAGCCTGTCTGCGGAGACAAACGTGTTTTGAATGTATAGACTTTCAAGGCATTCACTCAACCGGCAATCTTGCAATGAGCACTGCTTAGGAATACTGGCCCTTTGGAAAAGTTAATTTGATTCATTTTTCAACATGTCACATTGAACTCATGCATGTTTGCTAGTCGCCCTTGTAGGAAGCAAGAGTTTTTTGTTCTGGTTGTCTTGTGTCAGAGGATTGTGCAGTCAGGTGGGTTTAGGGAGCCAAGGCTATGAGGTGAATCTCTTGGCTTGGCTTGACTGCGTCCTCTGTCCCTGGACATGGCAGTCCTCGTAAATATTTAACTTAGCACTGCTGTCCCACATGAAGCCTTAGAGGGATATTTATCGGGGTAAGTTTTGGTCAGGAGTTGAAGCTCTGTCACAATGAAAATATAGTAGCATGAAGCAAATTTGATGGAGAGGTTGCCATATAGTTTCAGAGTAAATGCAAAGATTTGTTGTTTGTTTATATAAGGCCATCAGGTACTGTAGCTTTTTAAAATCAGATCATGAGTCTGAAAAAAAAGAAGAAACTAGCAGCTTAAACCAAATGTTTCATTATTTCATTGACCTGTGAAAATATTTCTTACTGTAGTATTCTACAGTAATTTAGTAAATCTCCCTTATTATGGAGAGTAAAAAGTGAGCCTCTGGTAAACAATTCAGTGATGATAGGAGGCAGTTTTATATGAAGTCTATAAGTGGTTTCACAGCTCAGGCTGACCTTGACTGAGAATATTAAACCCTTGAGATTAAAATCCCAGTCTCTGATCCACACACCCATGGCCTGTCTTGAACTCAGAGGAAGCGATGCAAACTGCAGCCCTCCAGCATCTAATAACATCTTAGCTTGGAGTCTGCACTCCACCTGACCGCCTCTTATTTTCAGAAATTCTTGACAATGCTCTTTTGTGAGAGTAATATCATGCAGTGAGAATCCACCATGCTAATTTTATGTGTAACGTGTTTGTACCATGCCTCAGACTCAGAGACAACATTATTTTGTCAAGAGGCTAACATAGCATAATCAGAAAGAGCTTAATTTTTAGCAGTTATACAACATTTTCTCCAACATAAAATATATTTAGAAATTAATTGCATGCCATTTAGCAACACAAGTCATCCAGCTTTTAATGATATTCTAATATCGATCTAGCTTACTGCAACGGGAAACAAGTGTCTCATACCAGCCACCGAGCGAACGCAGAGTAACATTTTAACATAACTTTCAACACACTCAAATGTATTTTAGTATGATTGTGTTGTTGACCAAGTAAAACAGTGCTGCGTTAGCCCACAACTTTAATTCGTCAAATAAAGTGACCCATATGAGTAATAAGTCAGTACTTGCACAGTTGCATTATTTCATTAGAACTAGATAAAATAATGTGAATTTAAGTGATCAAACGTAACTAACAAAGTTCAAGTTCAGGGAAGGAGAAGCATTAAACGTATCGTTTATCGTAAAATAAACATGAAAGGAGCGGCATTGTTCTGAAAGGAGTCTTGTCCATGTTCAATGTTTCTATGTTTGTCTTGTGCTTGAGCACATGGCTTGTTTGTGTTGGCCATGTGCTCCTCTTGTCCCGCCTCCTTGTTTCCCCGATACCACGCCCGCTTGTTTAGTCCTTGTCTGGTCCTTGTTTCACTAATTGTGCTCAACTGCTCCTCATGTGCTCTGGTCCCTTTATATTGTGCTCCTTTCCCTCATGTCTCTGCTGGTTCGTGCATGTGTATGTAGTGGATGAGAATCTTGCTTGTACTGATCTTTTAGACAGTGTTTCCTGCCAGTTCTAGTTTGTTCATGTTATTCTTTTGAATTTGCTTTAGTCTAGTTCCAGTCTTTTGCTCTAGGTTTCTCAAGCCTTATTTTTTGGTTTCTATTTTGATTTTGCCTTTCTCTGTTTGTAGCTTCAGTTATTTATTCCTAGTATTTCTTTTTATCATTTTTATTATTTTCTATTTTCAGTTAAATTAGTTTATTTTCTGTAGTCGCTGTGCTGAGTCAGTTTTTATTTCTGTTTTGCTTTTTCTTGTTGTTATCTTGGTGTGTCTGTTCCTGTCCTCCATCCTGACTGCTGCTTTCAAGACCAGGCAGTGAGACTGATACAGCTTCCAGCCTCTGGTTCCTCAAGCTACTGCCTGATCTACAGTCATTATCTGGTGCTTCTCCATCTCCTCGATTTTTCTCCTGTTGACTGCCCTGTCCTACTGTTTGGATCATCCTCACTCTTAACCATCCCTATTGTGCCTTGTCAATCAAATTCAATCCCTTGGTCATCCTGCATCTGGGTCGTCTTTCTCCATAAGACTGCTGTGAGACAACCTGACACGGTAGGCCGACTGCGCCATATAAGCATTAATAAAAACAGCATGTGCTGTTCGTTTACCTTTCTTTTTATCAAATCGAAGAAATCCTGGAAAAAAATTATCAAAACCTGTTTTCAACATAGATGACCATTATTAATAACAGAGCACCAATAATAACTGATCATTATTGAGCACCAAATTAGCATATTAGAATGAGTAGTTATTTTACATTGTAATAATATTGAGCAATATTTCTCAAATAAATACAGCCTCGGTGGGCATAAAAGACAAAAACATTAAGAAGTCTTAATTATTCCAGTTTTTTGCTTTGTAATTATAGTGTATGGAGTCCAGATTGATGTGAGAAAAAAAAGTAATTTAAAGCACTTTAGCATAAGGCAGCAACATAAACATAATTTCACAATATAAAGAGCTTTGAGTCTGACCTGAGCACCATAGCTCAACGTATTAATATCCTATGCACTAACTACTGCATCACAGCTTTAAACCAATGAGCAATTCAGGCTTCATGCGCCTCACCAAAATACACTTAAGACAAATAACAAACAATATACTGAATTTTAGTGCCTGCCTATTTGGGGGCTTTTGTCAATTCAATATTTAGTTATGTGATTGTGATTAATTCATCAATTTTATGCATTTAAAATCTTTCATTGACTGACATCCCTAGTCTTAATGCATCAAACACCGAATCTCAGAGTGATAAATGATAGATTTGCTCTAATATGCAACGCACAGGGGCGATTGGCCCCACTAAACAACATCAGACTCATTACATATTCGCAATGTCCTCCCATAGCTTTGATGAGATGCCTGACACTGTCAGATGAAACAAACATGCGAGAGGAGCGAGGAACTCCGCGTTGCACATTGCGTGGGCACCTCTCCCTTTCATCACAAGCGTCATAACAAAATACAACAGGCCTGTAATAAGACTAAACCGTCATGCAGCCTTAAAGTTGATCAGTTATTCTCCGACATGTTTGTTTCACCTGCTTCCTCTTGCTTCTCTGTATTAGAAAGGGTGTTTGAAACCGTGTTCTTTTCATAATGGTGTGGAAATGTCACTGGCTCTCTTCATTAATATTCCTCCGTCCTGCATCACTGCCAATGCCTCAGAATAAAGATGTATGGACAGAGGCTTTGTTGCTTCTCTAGACAACAAAGAGAAAAGCAGAGTGAAAATGGTTCGGTGTGCTTTATTAGTGTCTGTTTGTGTGTGTTGTGCGCTGTGGATGTCTATTACAGTTAATCTGTACATAATGTTACACATTAGCAGCTCAGAACAGCACTGTAATCATGTAGCACACGCTGCGCTCTTATTTCAACAAGATATATGGATTGGCCATATCACTTCACAGCATCTTTTTTGATAAAAGAGCCTTTGTTGTGTGTTTCTACACTATTGTAATTTTCAGAATGTCAAAACAGGTGCTACTGATGTGAAATAGTAGACTGTTCTAGCAGACTGCCCTCCTTTACCAAACAACTGTTATAGAATAAACTCACAGGTGACTTCCTCTAGAAAACCATGCATTTCAAGTCACCATGAAATCAAAATTAAAAATGAGTATTTTATATGGAACATTGCAATGTTTATTATAAATGCTATATCCGTGCACACCATCATTTTTTTTAATGTGCCCTCGTAATTTTTTATCAAAATAACTTCCCCTCCCTTTTGCAGCGACATCTCTTCTCTTCTCTGATGATGCCGTTTACTGACGCAAGGGCACCAAAAACCTGTCACTCACATGAGATCACAGCAATAGCAAACCACAATGATCCAATCGGTTCCCGGAGCACAAAATCAAGTCCCGCCCTATACATTTTTTCTTGTTTGAAAAGCCATTTCCCTTACGTTACAATAGGGAGGAAACATCCATTTCATGCATACTTCAATGGTGCGTTCCATTTGTCCTCCGAGGTGGGAAAGTCCTAGTCCCCATATAGGAACTTTTGAGTGGAGCGCCTCCTCAAGTCGGAGTTGTGACTGGGAAACTCGGGGGAAGTGCAACAGCCCCGACTTCAGAATCCAATATGGCTGCTCAGCACATCAACATCCCGGTAACACTTTAGTTTAGGGTCCAATTCTCACTATTAAGTTGCTTATTACAATGCATATTACTAGGATATTGGCTGTTTATTAGTACTTATAAAGCACAAATGAATGCCTTATTCAGCATCACCATATTCTACATCCACTTAACAACTACCTTACTAACCATTAATAAGCAGTAATTAGGCAAAAGCCATGGATAATAGTTAGTTAATAGTGACAAGTGGACCCTAATCTAAAGTGTTACCGACATCCCTCCTCTGAGGTAAATGGAACGCATGCAATCCTATAGGTTTCTTGATGGCTATTATTAATGATACACCGATTTATCAGATTAATGTCATTTTGTTTTGATCATTTAAAAACAGCTAATGATCTTGGGCTATTATGTCTTGGTAAGAAAAAAAAAGGTGGAATAGGGTAAGTGTTTGGTGAACAGTTCCAAACTTGCACAGTAAATGTCTCTGGCTTGGGTAAAAATGACAGCAGAATTGCCATTTGCTGCATTTTTTTTTTTTTTTAATCTAATATTACACACAGAATGCGAGCAACACAACATTCAATGCCCTCATCCATTAAATCGTCAACAAATCTATCTACATTGTACAATAATCACAATAATAGTGCATATTTGGTGTTACACATCCACATAAAGCAAGCAGCATGACATCTAGCAAATTCTGAGTCATTTCAAATTACTGCCGATACTTTTTACTTTTAGCATTTTTAGGTGTCAGGTGATCCACTCATTTTCATGTAACCACAAAAAAAAAAAAGTGAAACTTAAAACACACACACCATATGTGAATCAAAATGCTTAAAACTTACTCATTAGGACCAGTTATTATGAATATTTAAATGTACAAGATGAATGTGCATTAATTGTGGTAGCCATAGTACATTTGTCAAACAAAAGTATTGGCACTTTATATATCTCAGCTTTCATATTGAGAAACTGAGTTATACAGCACTTTTAAAAGGGTAAATTATCATTGTAAATCCTTTCCAAGCTGTTTAACTAACAGTAGGCTTATAGTTAACAGCTGAACCATCCAACAAATTATATCGCAGACAATCTGATGTTGCCTGCACATACATATTTTGTATAAGTGAAACCAGTTATTGTTTTATAGGTTTAAAAAAAAAACAGAATACCATGATTCTTAGACTATACAGAGAAAAAAACACACTAATACAAAACATTGATAGGCGATGAAATGATATATTGTTTAGAAAGATTAAATTAATGGAGAAAGATAAATGCAAATACAATTGAAGGGGGTGAATTTGTGACCTTGACAAAGTAACCATTATTCTGCTGTAGTTATTTAGCTGTACTAGTTATCAGATCATTAGCCATTTAACAAATGCATTCAGTAGCCTCTATCTATAATGTGTCTGCATGCATCCAGACAAATGCCCAAAATCCCAGAGCTCTCAAATGTGATCTACAGTAATCTCTGTCTACCGACCAGGTTTCTACTGTCTCTGTGATCAGAATCAATTAGGATCACATGAATTGTTCACAGCATTTACATGCAGTCTGAATGAACAGTGGAAACCCACGAGCGTCTTGTGCTTCCCAATGAAGGGCTGAACAGGTAGTAGCGCATCATTTATTCATCTCATACCCGCAACCTGTCTGTTCTCTGCCAATGTGAACATATCGGTATGCTTTTTATTATGCATATTGTTTGTAATATTAGGATAAAACAGTTGCCATTCTGTTTATTCATGCAAACATAGTGTAACAGGGTTTCGTGTCTTTTTCTATGTCTCGCGCAAAAGCCCAACAATGACCATATATACAAATTACATTCCTGACTAAATGAAGACAATCACGCAAACTTACCGGCGTTAACCGAGGAAACGGAGATATAAGCCAAAAACAATAACAGCGCAGCGCACGAGCCTTCAATTCCCCACATCCTTCAAGGAATTCTTTACATTCTGTTCGGAAGACGTTGAATCCCATTTACTCAAATGATTATTAAACTTATAAGTCTGCGTCTTTGTGTTTAACGTTGACGACTGGTGGCCGTCTTTATTCCCGCATCAGTGCAGAACAGCACTGTATCTAAACTCCGTACTTGCCGCAGAAAAGTCGACATGAGGAGACTGTCTGAGCTCATTGGACGGCATTCGTCACTATTAACAGTGGGGCATAATGTTTCTTCCTCCAGGGGGCGCTCGGTGGCTCACAAAGCCATAATTTCTCTAAACCGCATTCAAATTTTAGTTCATTAAGAACATTTCCAAGCTATTTTTTTTAATCTATAAATTCCAGATATTCTATCAATATTCTATATCTGTCATATAACGGAGGTCAGTAATAACAACAGCTGTATAAAGGCTAAATAAAATACCTTATTGTGTAATCACAAACGTTTGTGATTGGGCCGTCCTCATATCGCTGAGAAAAGTAACAGGCTCCACGTGACAACGCTGTCCAAGTTCCAGCGGTGATCTGGATGATAATTTACACCCGAATAAAAACACTTGACGATCTTCAAAGTAGAAAAAGAATTGAAATTGAAGAATAAGACGGGAGTACTTAGACCTTTATGGGGTCTAATTAATACTCTCTAACTGAGGCTTGACCCAAATCCTAAAGGTCGAGGCTTTAAATCAAAATTAGGCCATCTATAGCCTAGGTTTTTAGCTATTAGCCTATAAATAATTTATCCGTACACATCATTATGTGTTTTTAACTTCATAATCTTTCATCAAAATAAATTCCTTTCCCTCTTGCACCAGCAGCATCTCTTCTCCTCTCTGATGACGTGTTTGCTGACGCGAGGGCGGGACAACCTGTCACCACATGAGATCACAGCAATAGCAAACCACAACAATCCAATCAATTCCCGCCCTACCTTTTTTATCTAGTTTGAGAAGCTATTTCACTTTCGATAGGCCTATATGTCACAAAATGGAATCAAACTTCCCTTTGATGCTTATTGTAGGCAGCTACATGCCTAATAAACAGTTTTGATAGCCTACGTTTCAACAAGCCTTTTAATAATATTTCAGTTACCATGAAAATAACATTACAAGTTACTCAGACACATATTAATACCTAGCACAAAATAAACATTATCCGCTGGTTTCACAGACAAGGCTTAAACCTAGGCTGCGTCCCAATTCGCCTACTTATACGCCCTAAAAGTATGTAGGCCTACTCTTTTTGTGAAGAAAAAGTACTTTTGAGTGTGTAGCAAAATGACTTTGTGACTTTGACTAAAGACAAAATGACTTTGACAAAGTGACTTTGTTTTTTTCTAAGCACGTTTATAAAAGCTACTTAAATGCCCTAATTGAACTAAGGCCTAATCCATGGCTTAGTCCAAGCCATGTCAATGAATCCGGGCCTTGGTCCTTTCTGTTAGGATAAATGATAATCTGGGATAATCCGGCAAGACACACCTCAACCGATTGCTAATTTTTCTATAGATGTTCCTTTGTAAACCCCCTCAAAGTTATTGTAGGCTATATATAAGTTGCAAACTGATTGTAGACAGAGAAATAATGTCTGGGCTGTTAAGCTCCACCTATTTTAGGAATCCCTTTGTCATGGTCATTTCCATTCTAGCCGTGTATTCCATTTCTATGTTGTAGCCAGTACCTGGGACAGCGCAATGAGCGTTGCATGACAGTCTCGGCTTTAATACGGATTGACGGTTTTCGGTGTACAACATAAACAACTACAAAACAGCTCAAGATGTGATGACTAAGGCTAAATGGATGGTCCAGTGACTGCTGATCTATAGTCATTCTTTGCTGCCCATTCAGTCTCCAAATGAATTTCAGAGTGAAAAGTGCTGGCAGTGTCTTCATCGCTCCCTCTCGCTTGTTCTTGCCAGAATGCTTACTGAGGGAAACCACTCTTCCTAAATTTGTGGAGGTCTTTCCAGCTCTCTCCTTGAAGTCTCGTGCCAAGTTCTGAGAAATACCCTCTACATGTCAAAAGCAGTTGCCACAGAATGACACCACTTTAAATTCACACAACGCACTTTCCATTCGTCTGAAACGTTTTCATTATTCTACTGTATAGTAGTGTTTGTCAGTATGCCAAACACAAATATCTACGTCTACGTGTAAACATTAAGATATGCTGACTTTTACAGTTGCAATGCAGATTTTATCAAGTGTTGGCCCATTTACACTTAGTCAACGTTTACATGTGGGCTAAACAGCCAACTGTCTTACATGCATCCAAACCACCTCCTTTTGGGATAAATGCTATTCATCTTGGAGGGCATTTATACTTGTTTTTTTCCTCGACTGGACATGACCAAATGTAAATACCAATATTATTAACAATAATGTTGTTATTGTTAACTAAAACTATTAAAAATGGCTTTCAATAATTAAAATAAAATTGGAATGTAATATAAATATAAATAAAAAATTACACGTAAAAAAGCTTAGAATTAAACTTAGAAAAAAAATTGACAATTTGAAATACTGAAATTACAAATTAATTAAATAAAGCCATATAGAAATAAAACTAATAAAAATGATAAAAGCCCACAACAAAATTCCTAAAATTAGAATAAAAAAATAAAAGCTAATTCAAGATATTATTAAATAGCTTAGTATACAATAGTATACGAATAATATTGAAATAACACTGACACACCTTTACTATCTGTGATGGATGTATCAGCGTTTAGTACAGTAAAGAGTGCTTACCCTGCAAACTGTCTGACCTTTCACTAAAGAACAAGTTCAACATTCTGCTTTTAATGATTGAACGAGACATTAAGAGAGCAATGCATTTAGAGACAGCATGTCCCCATAAATTCTGCCATCTGTGTGGGAACTTTTTGTCCATTCTCTCTTATTCCTGCCCTTGAGACAAGTACAACTCGGGTACAATACATGGGACATTCGTCCATCTTTTTGCCAGATGCTGAAGGGCTTTTTTTCAGTGTACTGAAAAAAATCTGATGTTTAGCATTATCCTTCCCCCCTCCCCCCATCTCTCTCTCTCTCTCTCTCTCTCTCTCTCTCTCTCTCTCTCTCTCTCTCTCTCTCTCTCTCTCTCTCTCTCTCTCTCTCTCTCTCTCTCTCTCTCTCTCTCTCTCTCTCTCTCTCTCTCTCTCTCTCTCTCTCTCTCTCTCTTCCACTGTTTGAATGTGTTTATATGGCTACTTTGTGTTTAGAAGGCATCACTGGTAAACTGGAAACTGGTGAGATTCTGATCAAATGAGATTTTACTGTGTTGTGGCTGGTTTGGAAAAAAACTCATATTTACATGAATAGCATTTATTGCTTATCATCACTTTATTGTGTCACACCAGTGTGAGCTGAACCAGGTTTTATTATTCAGTCTCTAGTGGCTTGGGTCACTCTTGACCCCCAGTGAAATGTAATATAGTTGGATCATGTGCAAATTAATTTTTAAACCCGTAACACTCTACAGAACTTCTTCTGCCTACGGCTGCTGTATAATGATTATTGAGTACTAGATAAAGAGGGAAATAGCTCTTTTTTTTAGATCGATACATAATTAGCATTTTGATCAAACAGTTGTTAAAATCTCTTTTTGCAATGTTTTACTAAAAATAAATAAATTAGAAAAATCGAATAGCACTTGAGGGAGAGTTCGCACTTGCTTAGTTGTTTGTGAGAGAAACATGCTTTTTAGTAATAGAGTGTCCCCTCAGGCTAGAGGTTCTTGTCATGGGAACTATCAGTAAAAAGAGCTGTGCACAGGAGACGGTGGCTGTTTTCTGTGCCGTCTCATCCAGAAAGTACAGAGAAGGTATGCTGAAAGTATAGCCTTCGAGGGACTTGAAGTGAGACTGCCACATTTATGTAATGACCATATGGCTTCTGTTTCACTTGGATGCCCAGTCGGATTCACTCTTTTTTTCTTTCTTAAAGGGATAGTTCACCTAAAAAAGAGCAGTTTGTTATTATCCACCCTCATGCTGTTCCAAACCTTTATTTTTCTTCTGTAGAACACAAAAGGAGAATGTTTTTTAGTCATGCAATTAGTCCCCATTAGAACTGAAGCTTTCAAACTTCAAAAAGGAAACAAGCACAATAAAAACATCCTCAGAAATGATTCCTGTGATATATATTCCAAGATTCATATATTCATATTTGGCCTCTAATATTCTATATATTACAAGTCATTTAATAGCTTTGTGTGAGATATGAATAATTCGAAACGGTTTTAAGAACTAGATCAACTGATTTACTGAAGACATATGATTCAAAATTTGTTTGTGAATCAGACATTGCGGTTTCTCTTATAAACAATTATTAGTGAGCCATCTACATAACTTCAGTTAGAGATTCAGTTCCCATAGTGTTGTTATTGTTAACTAAACAAACTATTAAAAACATTTTAATTGTTAGTTGAAATAAAGCTGAAATAAAATACAATATAGATAAATATAGATATGATCCTGCTGGAAGTAGCCATCATACAATGTGGTCATAAAGGGATGGACATGGACAACAACAATCCTCAGGTAGGCTGTAGCATTTAAACAATGCTCAGTTGGTATGGGTTCCAAAGTCTGCCAAGAAAATATCCCTCACACCATTACACTGCCAAATTATGACCCTACCTGAATGTCACCGCAGAAATTGAGACTCTTTTTTGCAAGTTTCTATTGTCCAATTTTGGTGAGCATGTGCGAATTGTACCTTCAGTTTCCTGTTCTTAGCTGACAGGAGTGGGACACGGTGTGTTCTTCTGCTGCTGTAGCCCATCTGCTTCACCCACAGAACTGCCGCTTACTGGATATTTTCTCTTCTTCTGATCATTCTCTGTAAGCCTTAGAGATGTTTGTGCGTGAAATTCCCAGTAGATCAGCAGTTTCTGAAATACCCAGACCAGCCCGTCTGGCACCAACAACCATACCACACTCAAAGTCACTTAAATGACCTTTTTTCCCCATTATGATGCTCAGTTTGAACTTCAGCAGATTGTCTTGACCATGTCTAAATGCATTTGCTGCCATGTGATTGACTGATTAGATTGCGTTAAAGAGCTGTTGAACAGGTGTAGGCTACCTAATAAAGTGGCTGGTCACTCACTAGAATAACAGTTCTGATTCATTATAATTACATGAGAGCAACCTAAAATTTCTCCTTTTGTGTGAAAAAATAAAGTTATACAGG